CCATTTCAGCTCACTAAGAGTCTTAGGGAATGCTTTTACGTTGAAGCTTCTGTCCCAGAGTTGCTGAAATCAGCCTGATGCTAGATGGAAAATTAAAACTTCAAGAGATTTTAGAGGTCTCATGGCATCACGTTTCAAAGGTGCCCAAATGCCTTTCCTTAGAAGTGTTTGCTTTCCTGTCTATCACTGGTCCTTCTACAGGTATCTCTGCAATATTTTATTAAAAGTTGCTCTAGGCTTTATTGATAGATAGGATTTCCTTATCAAAGTGACAACATCAATATTTCTCAAGAAATGACCTGGAGGATTACTAGTTAAAGAAGTAAATACATCTTCATTGCCTGTTTTCGCTTAATGAAAAGAATTTGCTGACCTGCAGCTTTCTCTCTAAAACCTTCTTCATCTTCTGGTATAATTCAGAAACAGTTTCTCAAGCAGTTTTAGGGAAAAAATCTGATCCCAAACTCATTTTCTTTGGATACCCCTAGACTTCACCCCCAATCCAAAGAGGGCCCTTCCCCCAGGTAGTCTGAGGGGAACTTCATCTTTATGCAAATCACATGAACACAAGTACTCTCCTGGGCTTTTTGGTTCATTGCAATGGTTCTAGTTTCTTACCAAGTCCCATCCACTGTCTGTATTCAAGGGCAGCCTGGCCAAACTCTGTGACAAGTGGGACAGTTCAAAGAAAAGGTTTTCCCAGTTAGATTAAGTGGAAGGCAGAACACGATGTACATGTGACACAAGGCTGACCATAACATGGAAAAGTGCCTTCAGGCTTGTAACATAAAACCACTGTAGGAATGTTTCATCAACAGAGAAGCCAGTCATCATATCGGGCACAAAGGAAAAAAATTTCTTCTGCCTTGAGATTAGTAGTCCAAATACCAATCAGGCAATACAGATCTTGTTATTTATCGTTAAGACCAGAGCATGACTAATTAACAAGATGGCAGGTATTGTCACTGGCCCTTCACCTCAGAAGCCCTCGCTCCCCTTCAGCCTGCACAAGCTGCTCCTAAAGGCTAAGATCCTATGTGCTGATTCCACACCCTCAAATTCTGGGCGCTCATGTTTAATAAAAGTTTCCATTCAGCCAAGCCTTGGACAGGAGGCTTCTATGGGCTTTGTCCAGAGTTAAATCAGAAGCCTTATTCTAATTTCCATTCTCAAACTGATGGCTCTTTTCCAAGATCAAAGTATTTTCCCACACAGAGCCCATGCCTGTCATCCAAATTCAATAAGTGATTTACCTACGTAAGGATTGCACAATAACTTTGTTGGCAATGTTAGTGACAACATGGTGAAGTTACTGACTTTATGTCCTCAGACCACTCATCGCAATAGTGGCATTGCCATTGTGTTACTTTTCTGTGTAGTGATTAACTGGCTTTTGTAAAATTATTTCATCAAATCTTCAACAATTTCCAGAGGGAAATCAGAACTAACACACTGCTACCAGGAAGAATAAACCAAGGCAGAGGAAAGTCAAGTACATCACACAAGGTTAGATGCTACTGCAATCAAAATCAGAGTTTGGTTATCTGAAATCCTGATCTGTGCCCTGCTCACTGGTAAGTTCTGCCTGGGTAAAAAGCAGGGAGCTGGCTGTATGTGCAGAATTACCAAAAGGTGCTCTCTTCAACCTGGAACTACATCCCATCCAGGTCTCCATGCAGTGCTGCAGGACCTGCTCCTATGCAGTGGTTTTTGTTCAGCATGGAGGGCAAATGACTTTTCACCTTTCTTCCACCACTGTGTGCAGGAAGTAAATCTTAACTTGAATGCAGCGTAAACACCCACAAGTACTAACAATCTTTTAAACAAGACAAATATTTACCTGTAAGACACTGCAGATTACCTTATTATAAACCTAAAGCTTGACAATAACTTTAACTGTACACAGATCATGGTTACTATCAGCAGCTTAAATGGTTTCAAATCATGACATTTTGTCAATGACACTCTTGAGTATCAACTGCATGTTCCTCAAAGTACATCACGTTTTTTCTTATGATAACAGAGCTTATATTTAATTACAGATGTCATTCCATACGGGGACATAAACTGTTTTATGCACAACAGCATTTCCTTGGACTTTTCCTGATTTCACTAGCTACAAAGCACGATTTGTAATTCAAGTCAGGTGTCAGATTGGTTAAGTGTGCTCATTAAGTGTGCTTAAGTACTTGCCACAAGAATACATGAAGTTATTAATAAAGCTGTATCATTCAATTTGAAAAAGTTTTTGGACTACATGACATTTTTTGTTCTACTTTTTCCCAGTGCCTTAGCACTACGAGTCTGGGATCACCTGGCATCACACATAGTAAATAGCAGTAATGGACAGCTAACCACTAATAAAAGGATAATCTGAAAATACAAACCATTTATTGAACAGACACCTTGATTGTTACCATAGGATCACATCTGCATGACTAATTACCATATGCACGTAGCAGCCACATGCTTTCCACACTGAGATCACCAGCATGAGGAAATTTGTTTTACCTGCCTCTGCTCAAAGGTAAAATCCAGAGCGAGCAGCATGGTCATCATGCACTCAGATGCTACTTGCATTAAGGTAACATTTAGTAACTCAAACTTGGGTGAGGAGGACATTGGCTGCAAGACTACATTATTCTCTGCCTCCACGAGTAGCTGAGCACCGGAATCACTGTTCCACCAAGTCAGCCACAGTGGTACATGTGAACCAGACTACACCAGGTCAGACTCCTCAGTACCAAAAATGACATCTGCTCTTGTAAACTCCTAAGAGCTGAGTTAATTGCACTAATAGTCCCAAGACAAGATTGTATTGAAAAACTGCTTTATTTTACACTTGTTACAGGCATCTTGTAGTACTTCAATCATCTGAGGACAGAATTGGTTCTTCTCCCTCTCCCCAGTAACCCCAACTGCTATTTCCATTTTTAGGTTGTCACAGTGTTGACAATGCATGGTCTACTTTGCATTTAGGAAAACCTCAGACCTTGAAGACCACCATAATACCTCCCTCAAGGGCTGAATCTTCTAATGTTTAAATGAATCATCTTGATATTAAAATGGTGATACTTTTTTTCCAAGTTATAGTCTCAAAAAAAGGAGGGCAATTTTTCAATTGTGTTTTTCAGAACATTTCACCTGCCTGTGTTGGCCCTTGATAAACCAGGTTGCTACTGCATAGTGAATTTATTAGTCTGTTAACTACAATCCTGGCAGAGATAATGGCCAATGATTGCTTATAAATCCTTTGCTGCATTGTTTTTTCTAAAGCCTCTGGTTTGTACTATGTTCTTAATAAAATCATCGTACAGCAACGGTATGATGAAATAAAGATCACCTGAGCACTCATTTTCAGTAGCCTAAGTTAACTTAACTGTGTAATAATTTATTTGAAAGCTACTGACATCAAAGGCAAATCCAAGTCACATGCAGGTTTAATAAAAAGAATTTAGATTCAGTCATCTCATGTCAACCCCAAGGCACTTGCCCAAGTACTGCCCAGGCAGAATTTGCTGGAAGTTTTTCCAGAGCTCTGCAAGTCATTGAAACAGAAGGACAGACACCACCCTGTGAACACCCACTTCTGACAGCCCACAGGGAACAGTCAACAGCCAATCCTTCCTGCTGCAGCAGGTACTCTGTGCTCCACTTTGCATGCAGCAATGATGACCCCTAATGGTGGAATATTTCTGCTGAGAAAGATGTGGAGACACTGCTTTTCAATGTCTATTTCTACTTGAATCAACTACAACTCCCCTCACAGACCACCAGCAGAGTAAACTGTTTGAGGTTTACCTGAACTGTAACACAAAAGCAGCTGCTTTGCCTGTGTTCAATTCCTTCTGACTTTGGACATGAAAATGTTAAAATGCAGACTCATATTCCAGATTTAAGTCCAGGATTTAAAGCCCCCCCTTTTTTTCCTGGGGCAGACTATCTTACAGAAGAAAATTTCAGTTACACTGCTGTGAATAATCCCTGCAGAAAGTCTTCAGAAAAGAGGAAGAGACATTTTTCTCTAGAACCAATCAGCTGTATGCAAGGAGGCAAACAGCAGGCACCCAAACAGCTTCTTTGAAGCCTTGTTTCAGCTATCAGATAATGCTGCAGTGGCAGTACATCTGATACCCAGCAATCTTTTCATCAGGATCAAATAAAAACAGTTTTCTTATTTCCCAAGTTATAAAACTGCATGTTATTCTAGTATTAAGGCAACATTTTATGTGCATATAGAGGGTCAAATTCTCAGACAATTTTTACATTCTGAAATTATTAGTTTGGTTTTGTGATTTTATTCTTTTTAAAGCCAAGTACATCTCCAAAGCCTTTAACACCTGCTGGGAATAGAAGGTAATTTTAAATTGTGTTACAGGTGCCAGGCACATAAAACTAAGTCTCACTTTTCTCTTGGGAAGGATGAGTATCACTATCTGCCCCATTTTAGCTTGCCTGACACTTGCATCTAGCGCAAGATAAAAAACAAGGTAACTATTACCCAGGCCTGACCTAATTGTGTCAGTTTTTCCATGTTGAGATAAACACACAGCTCTTAAAAGAAAAGGGTTGAGAGCCCCTGGCAGCTTACTGATTTGTTTACTTTCTTTTAACAATATTATAACACTGAAGTTGTGCTAGATTTCAGTCTACAAAGCACAGAGCCTTCACCTTAATGAACAAAAAACCTAGAGATATTTCCAGACTGTGCAAGAAAACACACATTTTCAAACTATGATCTCTTTTTGCATGGTAATAGTAGTTAAAGTCACACAGGTTAAGTACCCACTAGTCAAAAAATAAATGAAGAAATGCTTCAGAAGTGTGTCTGTACTGAATTGACAACTTCATTCAGACAGTGAGGTGTGTAAAATTGAGGGTTTTTTTAAGTTAGAGTCTAAGCACTGAAATTTTTGTTACCTTCATGACTGGCTTATTTGGGGTTTTTTCTCCTTTTGACGAGCAATAATTACTGCAAATGTTTCATCACCCTGGCTTACCTTTCTCACATCTGAGCTCTTTGGTTCTGTTGTCCAAGTTATAATTCTAGATACAGCAAGTCTTGTCTCACTGGAGTTCACAAAGTCTGTTGGATCCATCTGTCTTGCCAAGGACTCAATATACTTCAGGATAGCAACTTTCACCTGAAAAATGAAAAGGGATTTGTTAAGCTCAGGAGTTGGCAAAGATGGATTTATCCCATAGTAAACAGAACCAGGACAGATTGACAAGACTTACGAGGCAGGGTGGGGAAAGAGAGGGAAGCTGTCCCTGTGACGTTTCTCTACAGTGTTCCAAAAATCAAGTTTCTAGCATGGATGAATTTTGTGTAGTAAGGGTCTGGAATGGAATATCAGAACTGGCTCAAAATCCCTACGTTTGCTTGTGCATTTGCAAAAGCAGATGAGAACTCCTCCACGCTGTTTCCACCAGTGGTTATTGTTTCAGAAGCCAAACCATAGCTTTTGGTCTCAAACCAAATGCCTGATGCTGGAGTCTAAAAAGGCCCAAAATTTGGGAGATAGAAGAAAGAACATTGGAGTCCTTTGGATCTCATATATTCCTATCTTTGGAAGGTAAATGTGCATGACTTCCAGAGTTAAGAGAGTTCTCATAGCCTGAAACAGCAATCTCCTGCAAAGCAGTCTGCACAACAGTATCCTTTAGGCAGAATTCAGTGACAGAAAGCTCTGATGGATTTTTTTTCCTCTCTAAACCTTACATGTGCTATGCCTGATCTGTGCAGCAGGCACTTGCTAAAGTGTGCCTAGGGTCCCACCTTCCCAGAGGTTGAGAGTCTGATCCCTCCTGTCCTGCACAGCCAGGTTTTTTTTCCACCAAGACCAGCTGAAGAGTATTTCCACACCTAAACTTTAATACATTCCAGTCTGCTTAAAGCCTAACTCTTCCTGACTTGTGATGAGTTACAGGGTCCTATTTTAAAGACATTTAGATTTATTAAAACGGAGAATGAAGGAGTTAATCAAAGTTGCCAACATAATTTCTGTATCATGCGTGTATTTACAATGAACTACCTTTTCCTGAGTTCTATGCTTTATGGTATGCCTGACATGGCAAGCTAAGACAAGCATGTTGATGTGTGAGCGAAATAGCTTTTGATACTGACCTTCAGGTTTGGTGTTTGAGTCTGGTCTACAATAAACCTCATCAAAATGTTAAATTGCTGATCAAATGGAAAAGAATCCCTGCCCAAAGAAAACAAAGGCAAAAATATAATGCAATGCAAATTTTAGGACTAAATTAACTCCATACATTAAAGCTTACACAATGGATTTCAACACTTTTCTTTTTCTTAACTTTACCATCAAGCAAAGAAACTCCAAGTCTAAGAATTAGCTGATTATTGACAGAATACTGGAGAAAACTGCTAAATTACTATCTTTATACACTTTTACTCTATCTACTCTCTGTACATTTCTCCAGCTCTTGGCACACCTGTCCATTCCTTCTTCATTTCAGACTCCGATTTCTTTCCTTATCTCTACAAGCAGCCTGGTTTATCTTGTCCTCAGAGTCCATACCTCGTTTTGATTTCTCTCTTCTCTTTTCCTACTCTACCGTATTTTCTTCTAGATTCTTACTGCTTTTTGTCTTTCAAATCAGCCTATTTTCAGAATGAGCTGAACTTTATTCTGACAGTGTCCTGTGATGGACATCTTTCGAAAAGGACATGGAGTACAGAGTTGGTATGAAGACTGCAGTTACATTCAAGGTCTTTATCCTGGCATGACTGTTATTTGCTGTTTGAACATCATGAAAGATGCTCTGAACTTTGTGGCAAAGCACCTTTCATATTCTGGATACTGCAAATTTTTTGTTCCCATGAATAATAAAAAAGAAAAAGATATCTAAGCATGTTCACACCAAAACCCCAAAATTAATCAGGCACTTATTTTAAAATTTATGCTTCAAAGTCATCTGTTTAGAAGAGAGACAGGACTGTTTAATTCAATGCCTCAAACAGTGACATAGCTTTGTTCTCCTTTGTTCCAGTATTCATCACTGAGCCCTCAAAATATACAGCACTGCTGGATTTCTAAAATGTTCACCAAATGCTTTCCTGTAATCCTGAAAAAAACCTCCATTTGCCATCTGAGTACTCTACCTGGTGACATCCAGAGCTTTTTGAACTTTTGCCTGCACAGACCCCAACAAATCGGCTCCCATTTTCTTCAGCAACTGGGTCAGGAGAATAAAAAGCCAATCCTGCAAGTCATCTTTATGAATGATGATGAAATCAACCAGGGTTTCCAGAAACATGCTGAAGACCTATAAACAAAACAAGTGTCACAGAAAGAAATACAGTGCTTAAAATAAAAATAATCAAAGGGGAGGGGTTTACAATCTGAGTTTCAGAATGGTTTTGTTATAAAGAGTTTCATGAATGAATGATTTTAGTGATTACATTGCTCTTAAAGAGAAGTCAGACAAGACACCTCTGAAGTGTGTTGTATTAAAATACCACATGAAACGAATGAAGGAAGGGGGTAGAAAAGACTTACTCTCTGTTGTGAATTCCACGGCAAAGCAGGCCATGCAACAAAACAAACCACTCGTTAGCACACAGAGTGATCAAGATGCAATTTGTCAACAGATAAAAGACACAGTCATTGAAAGTTTACATTTTCTTCAAACACAATCTCTTCCCAGCAGTTACTTAAAACATATACCTTAGATGAGATCCAGGCTCCTCAGCCATGAAAGTAACATGTTTATATACACTTATATGAACAAAGTTTACGTGTGTTTAACACCAGACTAATGAGTTTGTAGCAATCACTGTATGAAAGCAGTGCATATGACAGATCACTGCTGCCACAAAGGACCTACTTGAGTCCAGTGAGCACTAACCTCTCACCTTACTCAGAAATTGGACATATTTTGCAAACAAACAGTTACACTTTCACCCTTTCCACAACACATATTGAACCTTTGAGAACCAAAACATTAAGACCTTACAGGTAGGAACTACACACTTGGGTAGACCTCTGGGACAGCTGCTCCACACTATAATTAAGTCCAAAAATGCGCATTTTGAGCAAGACGTGATAGGCAACCAGGCCTGCTCAGAGAATTTCCACATGACCATTGTTTATCAAAACTGCTTAACAGGGGGTCTTGAAGTACAAGTATTTATACAACTTACTCTTTCTCAAACTGTATTTAACCCAACAGCAGATGTTTTTACTCAGCCATTACTGTTTGCCTTCAACCAGCAAACCTCCTCAGGAAAGGGCATGAAACTCTTTTTTCCCTGCTCCCACTTACCTGTCAACAGAAGACCAATAGGTCTGCACATGCCTATGGGCCCAACCTCCCCATTCTCTAACCCACATTTTTTAAGAAACATTTGTACATTCATGCCACGACCTTTAATTTCAAAGGTCAGCGTTATAAAGAAGGCAAAGTGGCTGTATTAAAGACTTTAATTATAAGATTCAGAATAGTATCTTGCTGAGACCTCACACTTCTCTCAGGTATATACAACACACCAGTTGTGTGATGCTCATGACCCTTCATGGACCACTCGCTACTGCGTATCAGCAAAAGACTCCCTAGAGAATTCCAAGTAAAATTGAACTTCTCACTCCAGGAGGTGACCTCTAAAAGGCATTAGGCTGCTCCTTAGAAAGCATGGAATAACCGGTTGCCAGCAGCGTAAGAGGCTGAGACACATCCCTTTTTTGCAAAACCAGGACGTGTAAATGCCACTTTTCCCCAGCAGATGGCAGGGGCAGGAATACAAAACACTCATCTTGGAACGGTGTCAAGAGTGCACACATGGTAAGGTAAGAGTGTGAGCCAAGTCTTTGTGGTCTTACCTTGCTGTGAGGGTCAGCGAACATGCGAGTAAATATTTCACATAGCCTTTTTAACTCGACTCGGCTAAAACACATAAATAAAACATCGTATTAATACTAAAGCTTTAGTTGCAACAGGAAAAAAAAAAGCTAATAAACTTTATCAGCTGGAAGATCTAACCTGCTTTATTTAAATGTTACTTCATTCACATTTCCCAAAACTCTGTATATGCAGGCAAAGACTTAACCAGCACTCCAGTTTAACTGCTGGGATCACCAGTTTTACATTGAGGAATCTAATAAACTCTTATTGTTTTAAATCTTAAGCCAGACATTTGCATTTTCTGCTGCTTATATTTTCTCCTATATTCTGGATTTCAGAAGGCAATTTGGAATGTGCACATTTCAGAGGCACTTAGTTTCTGCCTGAGTCAAGGTCACTGAAACACTGAATCTTGTGTCTTTTTCAGCCTAAGAATAGGCTTCTCAAGTCATCTCCTTTGTGTCAAGGAATTCCACCAACTACTCTCTTTCTAAAAATAACCTTCAGCCAGGACTGAATATGCTACTAGTCTACAGCTATTTTATGCCAGATTGTTTATAAGTAACACAGGGCACATTTTCAAATAAATCTATGCATTAAAGGCTGATCAAATTTTAGAAGGGCACAAACCCAATGGTTTTAGGAATCTGATATAGAGGAAAAATTCTCTGTAATGACATCCCAGTAAGCTGCTAGCTAAATTCAGGATGAGGCTGTACAGTCTCAAAATGACTACAACATTCTTCTGACATCGTGTGGATTGCAGCTCTCTGAATGAATCCTTATTTATTACTCTAATGAATTTTCTTTCTGGACACAATCAGCAAGTATAAGTGTGTCTGTTTCTAAAAGCTCACGTACTCAAGGTAATAATGCAAGTACTAAACTGCAACAGGCAATGGGAGAACAGTTCCTTAAGGGACCCGCTCGCCTTGTTTTATTTAGAAGACCTTATAGGGAGCCTTTAGAAAAGTAGGCCACAGGAAGCTGTATGAAACAGAGGACAGGTCAGAACCACTCCACTTTGCATGCACATCTTTCTGGATATGCAAATCTCAGCTAATATAGCATTAGCCATCTTCAGTTCAAAATACTAAAGAAAACCTAGCCACATCACTGCCTTTTATTAAACTTGTTATACCACAACAGAAGATATCAGGTTTAATTAGAAGACAGACTTGCCCCTTGGACTAATGACCTTGATGATGATCTGCAAGATGGTGCAGCATCTTGCCGTGGGAACAAACAGGATGATAAAATCTAATCATTAGAACAGGCACCAGATCAACTCTGAATGACTGAGGAAACAGATCAAAAGCAAACCAAAATGAAGTATAGAGAAGTAAATCCAGTATCAAAAAAATAACTGTGCTGGGGTGTAGTTTCTGGGACAAGCTTAGAAATCATTCAGGATCAAAGCTAAGACGACTTACTAGCTTGAGCGACTGGTGACAGCAGCACAGTTCAAACACTGCAACCAGCAGGGTTGAAATCAATAGTTTTAATTCTACTGGCATTTCTGCTAAGAGCTACTGATCAGAATAAACAGCACATCGCCAAAACTTCTCAGCACTTCCTCCCTTGGAACTAGCCCCAACAGCACTCCAAACTTTGCTTATAATCCTCACACACCTTTGTGGCAAAATCATAGTCTTACTCAACTTTTTCATACAAGTATGTGTGGTGTCACAATTTCTCCAGACAGTTTGTTAAAGAAAAAAGACAACATACATGTGGGAACAATCTTTTAAGAGACTCAGACCACATCAAAAAGCAGCTCTGATCTAGAGATTCTAACTGCCCATTTTAAAAACCTGTAGCACTTTCCATTTAAGGACTGTATCACATCATCTGAAGTGCTAGAATGTTTTTATGATGCCAAGAAAACAACCTTTCCAGGCTTACTCTCAGTACACTTTCCTTCAGCCTGTTAACATGAAACATCAGATATTTTCAGCCAGTGTGAAGCTCTTTTAAAATGGACACAATTGCACAAATCCAAGCGGGGAGTCTATAAACCATACAACGACCACTTATAAACCTGGTGAAAATTTAAGTGCATACTATTCATCACAGCAAAATAAAATTGTCACAGCTATTTGTGAATGCTATCTTCAAAGGAGCCAAGAATAAACAGCTCATTTCAAATACCTTCACCATAAACTAAGGAAAATCCTATGGCCTGAGAGCCAGTTGTCATGTTAACATGACCTACGACCACGTAACTATTGGATAATTCCAAGATATCTTTTAACATGTGATGTGTCAAAGGACTATGAAGGAGTTTTGTGGTTTTCAACAAAGGAAAAAGGTCTGCCTCTACTACCATAAGCAAAGGTTCAGAGTTGGTACACCTACTTCATTGCCCTAAGAAACTTCCCTATAAGTTAAAAACCTCACCATTTATAGGAGACAAGCTTCTGATACAAGATTTTTCAAGAGTCATAAACAAGATCTATAATTACACCTAACACAGCCTTCATAAAGAGTCAAAGTATACCCAATGACAGCACCATCTGATCTCAGCTTTGAAACGCACACACCCCGAGTCATTTTAGACTAAGTGCAATGTTTGCTTCACCAACTAAATTGCTGTGGAAAAAAAGCATTGAAGTTTCAAACAGACTAATGTAAAAACAGTACAACCCTTTGAGCACATTTACAATAGCATCATTGTGGGAAATCTCACTGTGCTGCAACAAGCATGTACCACTGGAGGTCTTCATGAGACAGAGGAAGGCTAAGAGAACATGCTTACCTGAGCCCTTTCTACATTACTGCCACACATTTAACACAAATTATGCTGATGGCATAGGATATATTTTTCAAAAGTTAATTGAAGTCCCACATTGTGGAGACAAAGCTTTCACAGCCATGAAAGATACTACCTGTCTCCATAAGGCAGGTACATATTACTGACTTCTGACTGCAGCCATCCCTCATCAGTTATTGTCACCACAAAACTATGAAGGTCACCTCAGTGTCCGCTGGCTTTTCAGTAAATTCTGAAGACCTATGAGCCCTTCTTTCCTTTCGGACCAGTTGGAGCTGGCACAATGGTTCAGGACCTCAGCCACATCTTCAGTCTGCCGCAGGTAGTGTGGGATGCCCCCGTTCCTGGAGCCATAGGAGCGCTCCGAGCACGCGCTCGATGCATCACTGTTAGCATCGTCGTCGGAGTACATCCCATAGGGCTCGTATCTTCTTCTCACTGGCTTTTTCTGGAAAAGGGGAAACTCAGACTTACCAAGTTATATACAGTTACACCAACGCCAAAAGAAGAACATTTTATTTGCAATCACTAAAAGGAAGATTAATGCTGTTGTTAGAGTGACATAAGTTTTTAAAGATGTCACCACACACTGCCTGCTTACCTCTCACAGTAGAGCAAGACAGACCCCATTGATTTCAATGAAACTATGCAAGTGACTAAGGGGAGCAGGGCCTGCCTTCCCCAGCACAACAGCAAGATATTTATGCCCAGTGGAATTAGTTACTGCTAACGAAATTAAATGTTTTATGGACAGTAATGGTCAGTTCCATTGTTACAGATGCTATGATGATACAACTCCTACTTCAAGCAAAAAAATAAAGATAAGGAAAAAATACCTAAAGGAATCTGTGCTGGCATGTACAGTCACTTTGATATTAATAAAGAAGTGACTCCAGAAATGCACTGGGATATAGGAGATGACAATTTCTCTGTTACTCTGGGCTAGGATTTTTCCAGAGGCTGCTATGGAGTTGAATATTCAACTCCCACTCATTTCCATAGCATTCCCTGAGGTACATCTTTGACAACCTTGATCCTTACAGAAGGAATATCAAAATAATTATGGCAGCAAAACAAACTCTTAAATGAACTTTAGCAGAACAGGGTTGATAAGACAATTTGTCAGAAAAAGATCATCTACATTCTCAAGTGTTTACTACAGAATCCTTCCAGTGTCCAGTCCTGCAATTCTTGGACTTGTGAAGCCAGCAGAGTTTTGCTTCCACTAGGACTAGGACTGGAGGATTGAAGCACAGAAATTAACTCAAGTGCAGTATCATGGGTGTTAGCAACAGGGTGGGGAGAGTTGGAAAGTAGAAATAAAAAGTCAAGAAAGCACTAGTACCTTGCTCCTGGAGTCTCCTAACAGCTGTAGGCAGGAAAATATTGAAGGGTGGGAAAAAGCATAGAGAATTATGTCAGAAGCTTATGTAGGGTTTGTTTTGCAACAAAAACGTATAGCAAATGTGTCTTAGCAAATTAAAAAAAATACAGTTTATGCAAAATAAAAGTGGGTATAATAATGCCTGACTTTAGCTCCTAACTGCTGTACTACTCATATGACCTACGATTTCCACTAGGGAGCTTGGAAGTGAGATTATCTGTTCATAAGTTTTTTAGGAACAGATCTATATACAGCACCTATTTCCTTACTTTTCAGAAACCCTGTACTGAAAGATACCAGAGTTTCTGGTAATGGATTCTTTCCCCACATACTCTTAGCAGCATTTCATTTTAGAGTCTTGCAAAGAAATTCTGATGTAAGGAAATGACTATCTACAGTACAGCACATTTAATCAACTTCACTTAACCAAGTTCTCTTTCAACACACAGTTCTTACATCTCAGTTTTTTGAAGATTAGCTTCTTTTATGCCCTCCTGGCTGGCACCCCTGGCTTAAAGGCCTTACTTAACAGCAAAGTTTCCATCACCCTTTGAGCTCTTCTGACAAATCCAAGCACTGATTCCCAGTATAGACACTATGGGTTTACTCCAAGTCCAGCCCAAACAGAAGCAGTGGATCCAAAGGGAATTGTGGAGAGGGAGGAGATGTCACAAAATGACCCAGTGTACTTTGTTTAAATTGAGTATTTGGCTGAAGCCATCTTTGGAGAAGCTCTTTTCATTTCCTACTACAGGGAAAAGAATACTCCCCTGAAAACAAGGCTGCTGGGTAAAAGCTGGCATGACATTACTCTCTCAAAAGGAGCCTGCACAGGCTTAGTAAATTGTTTTGCCTGTTGTGAGAAGGCAACCAAGAAAAAGAGCAAATTGGGGTGGTGGGAAAGAAGGGGACAACAAGATTGCATTGCATCCTCTAAATTCAGATTGATGAACCAAGTCAGCAACACCACTTAGTTTCCAGCCACACTTAAGGATTTTCCTTTTAAGTGTTCAACTCTTCAAGATTTTAACATTTCAGTATAATGCTATTTAATTTAAAGAATGGAATATTTCAAAGGGAACTCTTAAGTCTAGCTGAAGATTAAGTCACACCCAAAGAGATCTCAGTGCTCAGCAGTCAACTGAAACACTGACACTCTCCTCCCTCAAGAAACCTGTATTCAGCAGCTGCTCACATGCAGGGATAAAGCCTTTGTTTACACAGGCAAACCACTGCCTGTAACTATGCCCTAAACTGCTCTAGAGGCAAATTTGAGGTGCTGAGAGCAGAAATTGGCTCACAAGTTGTTGTCCTTGATAACAAAAATGCTCACTAATGATTCAGCCCACTAAATACAAAAGTGCCATCCATTATATAATGTTTTACCTTTCTATTATTCACAAATACCTTCCTTCTTTTTGTTTTGAAAGGTAAATTTTGTAAAAAGTGACATTCTTATTGAGGTAGTCTAATAATCCTCTAGAAATTAAGGTGACATGACTGGGTGATAATCAGATATAAAAAGGCAAATGTTAGCCATCCTTAGGCAAAGTGAACTAGGAGATGGAGAAAGGCCACCTATCACAAACTGTGGGCATGTGGTTCATTCCCCTTAAAGAGAACCTGGGAGAGATTCTGAAATATCTGTCCCAAGCTACATCAGGAAATCCTTCCCTCAGTTCAGGTCTAGAGCTGGAGAAGACCCAAGGCAGACTGGTTCCCAACAAACTCTGTACAATAATTGGTCCTGGCTCTAAACAGCCTCTCTCCCCCAAACACTCAAGGTAAATCCACAGGCTTCACAGTTGCCTTTTGAAGAGCAGAAGACACTTTCTGGGTTCCAGCAAAGAGATAGCATAGTACAGTAAGATTATACAGGACAATAAATTTTTTAAATGACAATAAATTTACTTGGAAAAGCAGTGAAATTAACAGCAGCCAACTAGACAAATACACTTCAATTTAACTGCATGAGATGGTACTGATTCCATGCAAGCCAAGTTATGAGCTATCTGAGTATCTATCCAGGTGCAAACAACACGGGGCAGGAACTTATGAAATTCTCAGCTCTTGTTGAAACCTGATCAGGAATTGACACTAACAGAGAACACTGTTTTTCTGACAAAGTCTTCATGCAAGTAATGGGACTGATGGAAATCCCTGACCCCACGAGTGCCGAGCACCCCCACAGTGCCATGAACATCCTCTGACAGCCAAGTGAAAGACAAACAGCTGATTCAACCCATCCTGCAGCTCCAGCACCAAGCCACAGCAGTCTGTCCGATAACAACTGTGGAGAACTAACATGGAATCAGGAAAAACATACTGCTGCCAATACACCCAAAGACAAAACAGCAAAAGGTAACTAACTCTACAGCATCAGACACTGACACAATCAGAACAAAGCTATTTAGAAAGAGGAGAACATACGTACAGGTAACTTTAAGCCACTTTCCGGTGTCGGAAGCATTTTGTATTTTTCCTCTTACCAGTGCATCAGCCACAGCAGCCTCCAGATCTGTGCTTGTGCTCAGGACTCGCATGGCATTCACAGAAGCAGGCATCCTGCCTGGCTGGCCGAGCCCAAACCGGTCTGCACAAAAGACAACATTGAAAGGGATTGTTAAATGAATTCACATTCACTTGGAATCCTAATCAGGTGCCCGACTAGCTCTACCCACAGGCTCTGGCAACTCACAGTGCTTTTCCATTAAACGCCCTTTTACCCAGAGCTCCAGAGTTTGCCATTAGGGTAAGAAATAAACTATTGTTTGTTGGGCCTTAAGAGACAATTTTGGATCCTCAGGGCAACTTTGCATTTATTTATTTAAAACTGGAAACCAGGGTATCTATTTTGTGTTTCTTTTTACACAGTTGTTTCAAAGTTTGATTTTAATGTCAGAGGCAGACGTGCCCATCCCAATCTGGCACTCTCAGAAATCAAGAGAAAGCTTCTCATTAACTTCAGAGAGACAGAACCATGCCCAGTGTCAGAACATGTTAATACCCAAGCACTCATCCATTCTGCAGCCTTTTCTCAGGCAAGGATGTGAGACTAGCAGCACCAGATTAGCCTATTTTATGTCTCAAGGCTTGATTAACCAGTAGAATATTCCCCTACACCCTCACAGTATAAAAACATAGTCTATTATTTACTTGCAAAGTTACTCCAACTTTTGGTTTAGTACTGTTCTTGAGAAGCAGTTTAAATGCCATTTAAAAGCTCTGTATCAACACTGGGTTTTTGAGCATACAGGATCATCTTTTTCACTTTGAATTTGATGGCAAAGCTCTCAATGGCATCCAAAACAACAGGATTGAGCCCAAAATGCCAATTACACTCCTAATGTTAATTAGATTACTGTATCATTTGCCCAGCCCACCAAAAAGGTCACTGAAATTAGTTTCTTTGGCAAAGTCCAAATTCAGAAAGGCAGGCTGGGAGGGGTATCAGTGACTTGAGTATGACAGGTCAGGCTCTGGCAGCCTAGTCCTTCTAGATGGGGCAGATCAGATACCAGACCACTGGGATCCTGGCTCTGGTCCATAAGCAGAAAGCAATTGGTTTTGATATGGTTTTGGTTCCATGAGGGCTTGTGTCTGCTGATGAAGGACTTAGAATATCCCTCCTGGGACATACACTACACCTCTGTCACCTGCCCATGTCAATAAGAGTTTTGCCAGCAAATTCAGTGGTGCCTGAATCAAGCTGCATGAACCCATTTAATAGACCTTCAGTTGATCCACACTGGAGGTAATAATCAAGCAGCAGGAGAGAGATCAAGTCACACAGGTCTTTTATGAGTTCATCTGTATATAATTTAACAGTGGAAAAATACTGCTTATCAAATTGCTTAACTATACTGTGGATTTACACAAAACTGAGGTCAAACATGGTATTCAGCAGCTTCATGGGTTTGGGTTTTTTTGAAAATACTTTGCTTATCCCAAAACATCATTGCTTTCTTTTTAAGAACCTACTGCACTGAAATATCTTTTAAAGAATTAGCTCAGACTGACAAGCATAATTTAAATCAGAGATTGAAGTTTGCCAGTCTACGGTCCTCATTCCAAAGCTGTTTTTGAGTGTCAGAGATTAAGCTACTGAGGGGAAAGAGGGAAGATTTTTTAAATCCCAAGTATTTTGACAAGAAAAAATACCTGCAGACTAGTATTTATTTCAAACAGAAGTATTATCTAACAACATTTAGTGTTTCTTAGAACTACATACCCAGACAAGACATTTCTGATTTACAACAAAAGCACATTTTCTACAAAACACATTACAAGAGAAAAAAAATAAACAAACTTCTTAGAACTACTGCCAAAAAGTAATCAAATAATGACATTTCACAAAGAAATAAAAGTTGTATGTGTTATTACTATCCCCTTTTTTAATGCACCTGGGTTGAAGAATCACTTCAAATATCTAGGTGAAATACTAAAATGGAAAGGTCTGTGCACTCTTAACAGAAGCACAGATATGACAGTGCATTAGGTCTGATTGAAACTAAAGTCACTATTACAGAGATATACACTACAAAGATGTACAGAAGACAAGGATTTTCCTAGAGTGTAAATGATATCTAGTACAGCACGAGGGCTGCAAATGTTGAGGCAAGTTCTGGACTCGGTTTTGTATTTAAACACAACTCAGTGACATCACTCAAATGTTACTGAGATCAGAATTTGGCTTTAACTTTTGAAATTACATAGCATCAAAAACACGACTGTCATTTGTTTTCACGTGAATTTAGTATTACATTAGAAAAGGGAAGATAGTTGTTTCGTTGTTTTTTTAAAATGAAGAACAAAATGACAAAGTAATTCAGTTGTAGATCAGTTTAAATACCCAGCATAAAGAAACAAAATTGAGCTTTTTTTTGACACATTAAGTACAGTGAGGCATGCTCGTTTCTATCTACCTCCATGGCTATCAGGAATTTGCTGAACTACTTTTTTCAGTGATCTTTAAATTCATAGCACCCAAGTTACTCTGGGCTTCTCCCCAGCACACTGTTGCCATACCTGAGTGCAGAAGTAAGACTTTAGGAGAGACCTCAGCACACCTATAACGCGGGGCTGGGAACACATCTGGCTCCAGGAATAACCAGTACAGGTAAGCCCAATATTACTGGGCAAGAAATAAGCAGAATATGCTCTGGCCACATTCCCTTGTCTCCCTGGCTAGATTCACTACAGTTGTTACCAACTTGGTGAAAATTCACAACCAGCATTTTTGAACCTATTTTGCCATTTTCAAAAGATTTTGGCCTTCTGTAGGACACAAGTAACCATACAAAATTTGATTGTTTTGCATCAAACCATAGGAGACAAGCATGAAGTGACTATTACAGGGAGTTAAATGCAAACAAAGCTTAACTTTGTATTACAATTGAGCTATTTTGAATATTGTAAATTACTGTGGTTAACTACAAATTCAAATTATTATTTGAAAAATGCCAGTCAAATCAGCTTGCATCATCTCTGTTGAGTAACCTGATAAGGCAAATGTTTTGAGAGTTTTAGTTAAGAGACAGCCATTTAACTACACTCATGAGAAACAGTATTTTTCACTCCCTATCTGAAGGGGGTTAATTAAATAACTTTCAGCATCAAAGATTCCTTATACAATTTTAGCCTCCAAAAAAACACTGAAGATCTTATCTTTTACATCATCTTTGTCCCCACAATTGTCCCAAAGCTACCAACCCTCATTCTATTCTTTTTCAGACTCCCAGTGAAATATCCCAATTTCAAAGGGAGTTATGGGTACTCCATAACTGCAAATCCAGCACGAGTGGGGAAGAAGCAACTGGAATCTGCAGATTTTTCTTAATATGTTTGAGCATCAGTTGCCTGATACACAGACCAGTGAAATTAAGGGAATCATTGGGTCTTTTTCCAACAACAACTTCCATGTACTTTGGATAAGGCCTTCAGAATTATATGAAGGATGGATTGGCATGTGATATGCTCCAAAGTTCATTTTGAAAGCTCATCAGGTGCTTAATTTTTGCCATGCCTGTGTATTTCAGAGAGGATCCCACAAAGAACATTCATTAACAGAGACAGGAGTCAAGAATATTTAGTAATAAATGGGATGAAACCCACTGGGATCCAGTCCTAGGCATTGGAAACCTCTACACTACTCAAGATTAAATAGAGTTTGCAAGTACTCTGCACCAGTCAGGATTTAGCCCATGCTGCACAACTGATTCATTTTACAGGAGAATTGAGAAAGCCCTGGATCACCCTTTGTTTAAACACTGTTCACAACGTTCCTAAAATACATAAAATTAAAAACATCCAATAAATGAAATTCAAAAGAAAAAGCCACGCTGAACAAAACCAGAACAGAAAGCCCCGCAGCGGTGAGAAGCACATGCCAAGTGCTGGCTGATGCACACGATGGCAAATGTTAAGATGGTGTAAAACAAGACTACGTATAAGAAGCAGATTCATGCAGTTAGCACTTGTTCACCTGACTGCCCAACAGAATCAGCAGTGGAGAGAGCACTAGTGGACCTGGAATGACGTCGAGAAGCTGCAAGTAGAAGGAATGGCAACACCCACAGGATTAACACACATTTAACCCGAGACAAAAAAATGCCACAATCCAAAGGGGATGCGTGTGACCGCTACCGGGAAAGGTGTTTCATAGTGACAGGGAAATGAGGCTGTATATGAATGCATAACAGATACAGTGCAAGCCCCACAGCAACGCCTCCGTCTGTGGCTTCCCTCCCTTCCCCTCGTGGCCATAAACACGATGCATGACAAAACTCATTGGTAACAGTCCCAAACGGGGTGCAGCTCAGCAAAAACACCCCAGTGCACATCAGTCATGTTCCAGACACACAGGTCTGGGAGACAGCCGTCACCAGAACGTGGAGCACATAACTACAGAGAAGGATTTAGATGTGTCTAATCTAAACCCTCAAGTGAAGCCATGAGGAATGGTCACGAATTGTGCTTGCAGTATTTTTTCCACAACATTCTAGCCTATGCATAAAAAACCAATGTTAACAAAGAGAATGCATAACCACATAAGTAGAAAGAGTCATACAGGGAGGTCACCCAACCACTGTGTATAGGTCCTGGGGTTGGGTTTCTTTTCCAAGTAAACACATGTACACACATATTGCAGGTGTTGCTACTACTAAAGGTCTCTTGCTTTTAACAAATTTTGCATACATGTTTCTTGAATCTCAGTATGCACATGCACAGATAACCAGAATATGCACATCACACACCTATCTAGAATTACACATGTATACAAATTGTTAATAGCAATGGAGCACACAGTAGCAGAGGAGCTTAAGCCAAATATAGCTCCCACTTCAATTCCCAGTTGTTAGCAGCACATCAATCACAAAATGCCTTTGGAGAGGTTTTCAGTTCTTGGATTCAGCATACAAGTAAATTCTTTATGAAAGCAAATGAAAAACTGGCCCAGCCATTTCCAAATTACAGAAATTCAGCTTTTCTAAAGAAGTTTACCCTATATCTAGCAATGACATGCTCACCAGCTCAAAGCAACTGACCCAAGAAACCGATTGTTCATTTGAGCAATTCATCATCATAGACTCACTGAAGGCCTTGTTGCTTTAACATCATAACTAGTACTGTCAAGAAACTGAAAAAATAAAGCAGAATCACCTTCTAATACAAACAGGCTTTTTCAATTATGCACACAGGTGTGCAGCAGAAAAATTATGTCTTCTGTTTAAGGCAAAGGATTCATAAACACAAATACTATATTATCAAGTAGAAATCAGCAAAGTAAGAAAAATAAAATTTAGGATTTTTTTCTTTTTCAACTGTAAGAACAATGTGGTCTTTTGACTATGGAGAACCCATGCATTTATTCAAGAGAACAATCCCACTGACATCATAAGTAAACTCATCAAAGATTTGCAGGATCAGTGAAGGATTATGAACTGAATCTCACAATGAAGGTTTTTAGCTTGCAATTGCTTTCTCCCAAACCATCCACTGTGCCCCTCTGGACATCATGGCAAATCAAGGCCCATGGAGAAACAAGAATAACAAAGAAATAAAACCCCCACATCTCTGCACGGAGGCTGAGCACAGACTGACCCTTGACTGGTGTTTCCTAAGGCAGGAAGCAAGTCTCTTGATGCACAGGCATGCATACCTGCACAGCACTCCCAAACAACAACAGTTTGCAAGGTCAGGTTGTCAGTGTTGCCATTGACCATAATACCACTAAATGCAGGAATCCTGTCATTTACATATAGCTACTTTAAATATAATTCACGACTATACAAGTTAATCTTTGTGAGCAAAACCAGACCATGCACAGCAGGATATTACTATCTTCACGTTATTGCAAGATTGACTGGGTTCTAAAAATACTGTAATAGAACCATATTGGTTTGGCTTAAACTGACATATATAAACTTCTTTCAGATGAATTACACACTACATAATTAACAAGTTCACGGACATGTTTGAGCTAATGAACACACAAGAAAAAGGAGATAGGACAACAACTACGCTGGGTTGTTACATTGATATTTCCTCCCCACAAAACCTCTATGGCCTAATAACAATGTATTTCTAGAAATGCATTAATCTTGAGGCAGTTATATATCATGACCTAAAATGAGAGGACCCTTTCCCCACAATAAAGGTTGTTACGAACAGTCTGACACACACATCTGTAACTGAACTTTTATAGTCAGTGTACAAATCAGACTCAGTACAGGTGGAGGTGTACAAAGCTCACACCAACCATGATTCTAGTACACTATAGCTATATTTCAGGACAAGGGCTACAGTATTTCAACTACTGTATTTTCAATAAAATAAACAAAACACAGCACACTGACACAGAACACTGACGAGTTAACCCTGAAATCCAGCCTGCTTATACACTTTGGCTAGAGGAAAAAAAACCTTCAGCCAAAATTGAAGCTGGGCAGGCGACTATAAAAATGAGCTACAGTTGTGTATCGAATGTCTTTTTACAGCTTTGGTATCAAATAAGCTTCATTTAATCAACAAAAAGTTCAGCTATTTATCTAAAAGAGCTATGAAGCAAGCTATGAACACTAAGTTGAACTTCTCTCCCATTTTTCAGCAAAAATTTAAGGTATTAGAGCTTATTTTATAGGTCAATATAATGAAGTCGGTGAACCCAAAAGCCTCTCCAACATTAACTTATGCTGTGTTCCACTTACACACTATGTTATATACCTGTATTTTTTCACTACGTGCAAAATAGATCCTGTAACACCATTCTCCATTAAAATACTCCCTAAATGAAGAGGGTCTGGGGATCAACCATATTTCATGTCTGAGATGACAAGCCTTTGATACAACAAGCAATGTATTTGGTTGAATATATGATATGGTATTTGATCAGAAACATGAACTATCTCGCTGTATTCAGCATTGTGCAGAAAAACTTCTGCATGTGGTAAGTCTAATGAGATTTTCTATTTGTACTGTACACTTAAGCTGCACTTTAGTGATGCTCCTTTAAGACCTCAGTCTTTCCATGATTTTAGGTTGCTTGACAAAGTTTCCTAGGAAACAGCATGGGCAACTTAATTGATGACTGACAATGTCCTGTGAAACCTCTACAAAAAGAGAGCTTCTATGTCCATTACAGGATTTAGTATAGAAACTGGAGGATTTAGTATAGAAATAATATACTGCAGCTGTACCTAGCTGTAAGAAAATCAGACTGAATAAATAGAGTTACTCAACAATAGGCTATGATGCTACCAGCTACTTCACTGGGACCTAAAAGATCCAGGCTTGCCCTCCCATAGATTTCCATCACTGTTGTAAAGCGAAGCACAGCAGCCCCATGGAAGCTGATTTAATTAAGCTAAAATTTGTAAAATTTCAAGCTAAACTATTTCCCTGCTAACAGAGCAGTGCTGAGAACCAGAATTGAAGCATGCAGAAGAAAACGGGGTGGGTGGGGGGAAGAAACAGGGTTGGAAACAGGGGTGTGGTGTCAGGAATCCAGAGGACAGGAAAGAGCTCATTCCACCTAGCAGTGTCTTGAAAGGGCAATCACAACAAGGGAAAAAGGAAAAAAAATATTGACCCTTAAAGCTCCAATGCCTACATGTACTCACCAAGTGGAGGAAAGCCCCGAGCAGGGCTTGTATCTCGACTGCTCTCACGGCTGGTATCACGACTGCACCCCTGACTCATGCTGGGTCGGGGGATACGACTGCTCCGTGCTAGCATGCAGCATGGAGAGTTTCAGAGAAGGTGAACAAGTTTAATGAGGACAGAAAGCTCAAAGTCAAGTCACATTTCTGTTAGTTAAGGTAATTATTACATTAGTAATTATAATGTGCAGCAGCCTACACAGGCTCTTTACAAACCAACTACCTTACATGCTGAGCTGTGTTTGTGATGTGAGATTTAATGTCTGGCTGAGTGTCTGCTTTTTTCTTAAGCAATAAAAGTTTTGTTATTCAAGTAGAGCAGGAATCTTCAATCGTTTAGGGGAGCTCTGCTGTTGCAAAATAGATGAGGCTGAAAGAAACCCTTCTGGAATATTCTTCCTTAATTATGAGATAAACACCCTTCTGGAATAAAATAGCAGATGAGAATTTTTTTTAAGTAGTCATAATATCAATATGGTATTTTTACATAGATTTGCCTTTCACAAGGATAGTTTTGTCATGAACAAATATCCTAAGGATAAAAAAAAGGTGTACTGTACAGACTTGCAGAGTTATCTTTCTCCAATGAAAGATTCTGGGAAAATAAACATTTAGAACCTGAATACCTGAAAGACAGGTTAAAAAGTGATTTGAATTTGAAAAGAGCAGCAGCTTCAGGTATTTAACAGAAGCTAACCTCTGCTCCTCAAACGTTTCTAAAAGCTTATATTTATGGTTTTATATGCACAGATTGAGACACAAGCACACTTAAGGGGAGCTTAAACTATATTCTTTACTTTGACACAACCCTACATGTTTGCAGATGTTTGAAACCCTAAATGTCTGAAACCCTAAATGTTTGAAAGATGTCTGCAGAAAATTCTGTAGAGAGCTTTATACCCAGTAGAAAATACAATATTTTCATAGGGAAAAGAACAGCAGTTAATTGTCAGGAGTTTACTTTGAAGAGTTTAATGACAAGAGGGATTTCCTTTGCTGTTTAGAAAAGGTAATAGCATATTTTATGTGTTCAGGAAACACCATTACGGAATTTTCTCATGCAGAGAGTAAAACCTAATCTACCAGCTTTGATGACAGTAGAGCAGAGGCAGGTATGTGTAACATGAACATGGTTTATGCTAATGCTTTGACTGCACCCTCATTTTTATAAAAATAATGCCATTTGCATGCTTCAGAATAAACATATATATTCTTATAAATCTCTATTGCTTTCTATTCAGAACTTAAGTGCCCAGACTCAAGCTAATGAAGTTCCTCTACAGTGTTTCTGTGGTCTAATATACACTGGGTACATTAGTATCCTTCAAACAAAATAGTACAGGACAGAACAGAAACCTTCATATTTAGGCTTTAAAATTCAAATGTAGACTTCTGCCAGATTCTCGGTTTGTCAAATCCCTCCCAGTTTTGCAAAACCCAGTTCATATCTCTCAGATCAATTAATGGTTCTGATGGTTGACCTTTGATGTCAGACAATACAAGATGAGCCATTAACCAAACTGAATAGATCACCATAATGTCTTATGGTTCTGAGCGAGTTGGATGGTCTCATAATAAATAAATAAGACAGACTAAATTATAAGAACTGGATGAAATTAGGGTCCATGACCTCACCTCAAATGTACAAGGAAAAAAGCTGACAGGTGAATTACAGGTAAAAGTAACACACTGAAGTCTTTCACACAAAACTTGCTTAAAAACTGTGGACTCTCTGGAAGCAAACTTCTCATTCTTGGGTCACATGCTTAGGTGTAAATAATGGCAGCCTTCACATCAGGTTTGCACAAACAGTCATTTCTCTTAAGTAGAGAAAATCTGCCAATCTTTTCTATAATATGACCCTACTAAAACCAGTGAAAGCTCTTCAGAGAGGGAGAGATGTGAATGACTAAAAAATTAATGGATGCACACAATACATTCTCTTTCCATACCAGCTAATAGCAGCAGTATGAAGAAAACTTTAACTGCATGAGAACAGGACAATGCTACAGATGAAGCACAATACTGACTGCACAAACAGAGCACCTACAACCAAAGACTGGGTACTTCATGAGCAATGGTCAAACAAAAGGTTTGCATGTTACTGGATACAAATACAAAAGCAAGGAAAAATAAGAATGGATTGAAAAGAACTGAACGATGAGTCTGTTGTGGACTCCCAGGCACCTGCCTCACATTTTAACTGCTGTGAGAAGATTATATATCAGCTGCTCAGAGTATTTCTTTTAGACACTAGCAGCAGCAAGGCCCAGCAGTGTTGTCATTTAGATAAGTCTTTCATACTGTGACAGACTGTCTCTGCAGTGCAGACAGCAAAAGCAGAGAAGACAGACACAAGTCTCAATATGAGAATTCTCAACCCCCAAAAGCTGGACAGAAATCAAGTAGCAAAATGGATTAAAAGGAGTAGGCAGGATGAAAGGAGACAGTGTGCCCACAGCCAGCTCTGCTGTGAGAGAGTCTAGGACATGACAAGGATGGGTTGCTTTCAATAACATCCCAGCTTTCTAATGTGTACTGTACATCTAAGTTTGACTAATTTCATCTGGAAAGTCAAGAGCTTTTGGACAATGCTCACATCAATATTAAAACACACTACTGGGCTGTATTATATCAGTGGAACCCAACAGATGCAAAAATCACTTGCAGAACATGATAGTGGCCCTGTTTACCAACCCACCACTTGGAAGAAACCTGTGTTTCATTAGGGTGTGAATTTTAATGATTCTTAGGTGGAGACTAAAAATCAGCAGACGCTTTCTTTACATCAATACCAGCATTTTAAAGAGTCTGAAATGCTGCCAAAACAGCCAAAGGAAAGCTCTGCAGTGGGGTACACCCAGTAGAGGCAAGTCAAGAACTGCCTTCAGTTTTCCAATAAACATGCACGGCATAACTAGAAAGAGTGCTGCAGCACAAACTGATACCCAGCTCTGCCTGCTCCACTTTTTACAGAATGACAATCTTGAATCTCTCACTCCCTTCAGAACCAGCTGTGCTACATAATCTGCTGAGCACCCAACAGAATTAACTTCAGACAGATAACTTTCAATCCATGGGAAATGGATATCACCTTTTTGAGGTGATGATCTCCTTCAAGGGGTCCAAAAGCTCAGGATTAAGTGGACTATACTCCTCCTTCCCCAACAAGGTATCACCCTAGTAAAACTCACTGAGCAGACAGCAAAGGCAAGCTTAAAACTGAAGTGTCACAAGCAGGACCATATAGGTGACCATGCAGGACCTCAGCACACCAAATGTGCCTCTTCATGCTGCCTCTTGGAAAACAACACACTACTTCAAAGTTTCCAGCATACAGAAGGAACATTATTCATGAATACCTGTGGTCATCATGAAATCTAAGCTAGAGGCAAGGTACTGTTGCTAACAGGCATCCACACGCAGAGGCTCTATTAGCTTGCTACTGCCCCAGGAGGTCCTGAAAAACTCCAGTGGATGGTTCTCATATTTAGAACCAAGGTGAGTGGGAGTCTAGTTAATGAAATGAACAAAGAAAATAAAATATCTAGGAAATATAAGAAACTGAAGCAACATAATAAGGAAGCATAAAATACTGTTAGCTACTATGTTGTAAGCAATAACTATGATGAATAATGGTATATTGGTGACAGCTCACAAGCTATCTCCATCCAAGACAACATTACCATTTTCAAGATCCAGTAAAAAGACAGAATTTCAGCAAATGAGTAGTAAAGGCAACACAGGTGTCAGACACTCCTGTTCCCAGCCCAAAAACAACAGGCTGTGGCCATCAGCTGGAGGGGCAGGTGGAAGCCACACATCTGATACATCTGTCTGAGCTCTCTCTCACTCTCAAAGAACAAGCACTGACTGTGTTCTCAGGGAGCACATCAGAGCAACGAGATACAAATTACTGTTTCAAAAGAATTCAAGGCTCCTGTAATACACGTGAAAGCAGGCAACCCAAGAGTGAGGATTTCACACAAGGCAATTTCTCTTCAGATGCTTGAGAATGTTTCAAAGTCAGACCACAGGAGGTGATGAGCAGCTTAAGCATGTGGGATGGTACTACCCACCATTCTTTGCTTCCTTCTATAAAGCAATGCTCTTCTACAGAGTGATAGCAAGACAATTATCTCTAGTATTTGGGAGGCATTTACATTTTAAAAGCAATGTACAGAAAAGCACAATGTATTCATACAAAGGCCATAAAATAGATCAGACATAAGAAGAATGCTGAATTTGAAAAAGCAATCACAATGAACATGCAATCTTTTTCATGAATCATAACAGCATATGCACCGAGGTGCTTTAAATTCATTTCAATATCCTGCAAGAATGAATAAGATACTTCTCTATTAACAACCTACTCTAAATAGAAAGGTAGCTTAAATGTAAAATACAATTGCTAAGGCAATAGTTGCAAATTTAATTGCAGACAGTAAGGCTGTAATTTCAATCAATTTCAGCCTACTAGTAAAGTCTTTGGAGATAAAAAATATTTGAGCACCAGTATCATTTAAAGTGTTCAGCCTCTACATTACCTTCAAAGTTATAAAATAATTTCTATTAAAAATAAAAATGTTCAGACAGTACATTGAATACCTTTTCACCTCAATTCGGATACTCAAAAGTTATATATATATATATATGATATTTACTCACCTGCCTTAAAAAAATGAGTCTGCTGATAAATTTGAAAATAGAAACTATTATAGAATATTTACACAACAGTCACTGAGACAAGAATATTGAAAGCAGAACAATTACAGCATTAGTCTTGAACGCTGTCTAAGAAAGTGGCTCCAAGATATGAAGGATCAGAGAAGCAAAACACGTCAGCTGCAAAATTTTTAAACAATGCAAGAAGGTCCTTTTTGCCCTTGATTCCAACTGACTGCAAAGATTGCTCAACTCATTTTAGGACTAAGCCGTTGATACCAAATGAGATCTTTTTGCTGTGATCGTTATTCATGACAACTGTTTTTGCTGCCTGATCTAATAACATCCCTCGTGTTGAATTTCAAACAGAAGACACATCATGACATCTTTAGGTTTGCTTTGAAACTATAGCTCAACCTGGAAAATTAAAATTACTCTCCTAAAAACCACAATCATATTAACTTGGCAGCTGAAAAACTCAGAAAAATAAGGGTAATATGAACAGTTTCCTAGTCAGCAGGACAGTCCCTCCTTCAAGCCCACTGGTCAGCATGTCACTGCAGTGACTATTCTTACCTAGTCCTATTCTGTTGGGACTCGTCTCCCGACTGCATCCTTGGCTCCTGGGAATCTTGCTGCGCTTCTCTGAAGATGATGGCACTGGCTGGACTCTGGATGTTCCACCGCTCAGGCCACCATAGCTGCTTCCTAAGAGCTTACCCGGAGAACTAGACCGGCTGCCAGCTAGAAGAGAACCAGAAATAAGGAAAAAACACTTAAAACCACCCAAGATTTTAAACACACTGACAGCAAAACTGGAACACAATCAGGTATATCTAAGAATTTGATGCAAATCACTCAGAAAACTAATGGAAGTGTTCCCTGTGGACTTTCAAGGAAGACCAAGGAAAGCTGATGGAGAATGAACACTGACACCAGCAATCCTGCCTTCTATGAACTACACCACCCACTGGGGATCAAGTCCAAAGCAGACACTGCCTTGTATGAACACCCCAGCTGGCTTTATGAGGGCTTGCAGAGGTGCTGGGGCAGCCTTGCTGCAGCAGCATGGAATTCATCACAGGCTGCTTCATCTCCTCACAAAACAACACAAACTGCCCTGTGTGGAGAGTTGTGCTGCAGTGTCCCAGCTTCTGGCACAGGGCACCTGCTGCAAAGCAGCTCAAGCACCTGCATGCTACACTGCAGTGGTGGCATTACTTTCCTACAATAATTCAGTGAAGGAAAATTTTTTTAAAAACAACGAAAATATGAAAACCCCACCACATCTGAACAGATCAGCACAAGAAAGGGTAAACCATGTGAGCCTGTGACATTTGTACAGATGCTGATTTACTTAGGTCTGGTTGGATAAACCTAAGCTATTTAGTTATTTTTCAGATGAAGACAATTTTTAGCAAGTTGAATAGTTGGCCTGCTTTATTTTTCCTTCTCTGTTGAATAGTCCATGGCAAGTTTACATTTCTTCTAAGCCATGTTGTCTGCAAGACAGTCTTCTACCCAAGATTTATTTACATATTTACATTCCAGATGCAGCAGATATTTCTATTGAAACATTCTTGCTGTCTAACTCAATGACATAACTCTTTATTCTTTGCAGTGTGTCTTCATTTGGTAAGCCGTTTGAAAATTAATTAATGCTAGCTTATAGGTAATCATAAAGAACTGTGAGAGTAAGAGATTCATTACTTTTTTTTATTTTGCTTCTTCAGTCCTGAAAATCTACTGTTACCATTACCATTCCTGACTTTCAATTTACTTGCTAAAGCAGCCAGGAAAAGTATGTTTGAAAAGGCTATAAGACCACGCTCAGGCAAGTTCACATTTTGAATCAATATTCATGTTGGTTTCTTTCTGAAAAGTATCTCACAAAAATTTCATTTCCAGATACTATTACAACTAGCAACAGTTAAAGACGACTCTTCTGTCTTTATGTAAAAGAGACACAACTCTGCTAGTGTCATGGACAATACCATAACACATATGTTTTAACTTACTTGTCCCCTCCAATTTCTTGACCAAAGCCATTCTGAATACACTCAAATACTGTATGCGGTGCTGGCTCCATTCTCCCCACCCCAAAGTGACAGATGCCAGTCTTACACACAGCACCACAACCTAGAAGCCAAGACTCCTCTCAGTTACACTGATGTCAGCAGAGTTACACTGAAGTAACTGGAAGAAGGACTTAGCACCTGAGGTTTAAGCTGCAGCGATGAGCCAACTTCAACGTGCAGAATGTACACTTACCATGTCTGACTACTGGGAAAAAGCAAAATCACCTGCCACACACATTTGGATTTAGGACTTGAAGAAAATGCTTTTTAAGTCTCACAGTTAGCACAGAACGAGGGAAGCTAAAAGCTTAGCAGTTAAAAAATGTGAAGGAAATAACATGAGAAAGCAAGAAAGGGAAAACGTTTCTTACCACCAGCAGGATTAGCTGATCTGGATCCTTGATTATGAGGGCAGACCAAGGGACAGGCAAAAAGTGGATTAAAAGACAGCAAGACAATACAGCGTTCAGCATGCGGTTTATGCTATACACAATACAGACAGATTTATTTACAAACATGTCACTCCTAAAGCCTCTGCAGAATGCAGTGAGTTATTGTGCAGATACAACTCAATTTCCCAAGGCTGATCAGTTTCTTAGCAAAATGTCAATCCAGACCCAAGTTCTGCTCTAAATTACACCCCAGCCCAGTCTGCACCAGGGTTATCCACTTTGGTGCTGTGACCATATTGCACTTGAATTCATAAATCATTTCATGCAATGGCTGGCTTAAGGATAAAAATCACATCTGGTTGGGCTAGGCTGGAAACAGGATTCAGCAAACTAAAGGCAGCAGGTTCAGATATGACCATTCTAAATCTTCATAAGCCACTCTATAAAAATTCAAGTCCATCATCTTTGAAACCTTTGGGTATTTAACTATTTCAACACTCCTGAGACTTGTCTCATCTGGTCTGACCATTTTTCACCAAACTAAGGTTAGGAAACAAAGGTCACTTCTGGCTTTGGGCCATTTTTAGGTCCAAATCAATTAGATCAATTTAGATCACCATACCAAAGCCCAAATATATCTTCATGACCTCAATGTAAAGATTTCCATTTAGCCCCATCCTCAATATCCTACTTCTTTCTTCAGCTCTCCCAGCCTAACACAAGGCTATAAACTGCTTCTTCATCCCTCTAGCATGACAGAGCAAAGCAATGAGAGAATGAACAGAGAAGGGCTTTTAAATAGGGATACAAAGCAAGACAAGTCCTCAGAACAGACAGGTCCTTCCTCAAACCCCATCTCCTCTTACCCACAAGGTTGAACATCCTCAAAACAGGGAGCGGCTTTCTCCCTTCCCCCAATTCCTTCTAAAGCTTGAGTGACAAAATTCTGCTTGGATACACATGACAAATATGCAGCAGCACTGTATGTGTTGCTCCTCGGGGAAAACCCTGCCTTGCCAGGAAGCCAGAGAGCACAGATGTGTCATGTGAATCAGAAAGCAGAACTCTTTTCCCTCTATCTACACAAAATAGGTAATGTCCTATTTTAAACTGATGCCAGATCCCATTAATTTTAGACGGCTCACATGTCACACATACAGAAATACAGTCACATAAGCAGGAGAAGCTTGGCAGGGCAAGAGCCCAAGACAGCAGCCAGCTACAGACACAGGGGGTGTCTCAGCAGGACGCAGTGCAAGTTATTTAGTCCTACACATCACAGCGACATGAAATTCTGCTGCATGACTGGTAAATCTGGGGCCCTGTTTGTCAGAGGAGCACACACTGGCTAGGTGGGGACCTGTTTTATTATATGTTACTATCAGAAGTGAGCCCAATTCTCAGCTGATGCTACTGCAATTCAAGAGAAACACATTAATTACTATTTTTTCTGCTCCCCCAGGAATAAAACAGTTCTTACGCTGGGACTGGGAAACTACTTTGGCCCGGCTGCGGCCTCGAGTATCAGCAGGCGTTGAGGTGACACTTGTGGCACTGCCAGAGCTCTGTCTCCTTGTACGAATCCGACCTGGAGGAATGCAAAGACAATCAGACTGTTAGTAAGTTTCTTACAAAGGCAGCAGCAGTGTCTAAGACGCTATACACACAGTTATCCAGGGTACCACAGAATTTCACAGGGAGAGGCAACACCTTTTATTAGGCTGGCTGAGACACAGGGGAGGGAGTGGAAACAGCCACAGTCCACGAGTCCAAAAGCTTCTTTGCTTTCTGCAATGCTATCAGCCAGTTTAATTAAAAAAATATTACCTCTCTCTAGCCTTTGCTTCTGTTCTATAGTAGCTTCTTTACAAAGGATCAACAGCAAAATATTTCAGTGTCCTAAATGCAGCTTCCTATATCAAATTATTACTTTCTGACAAGATGATCACCCTCTCAGAGACAGGTGTGACAGATGCCCTCCCAAACTCCATCGCTGGGATTTCCAACTAGCTGCTTGGTGCTTTATATCCTGCTCCACCTGCACAGGCTGGCACGCACTCCTGCAACAGTCTGTCAACGCAGCCTGACCACGCTTTTATTTCAGGCTCATTGAATTCTCCCTGCTGTTTACAGATCCCTCATATTTAACCAGAGATCAGGGTAACTTTACTTGTAATAGAGAGTCCCATTTAGCACAATCAGTGTTGTGGAAAAATGATTCTGTGTGCCTTCTCTTTATTTAAACAGACAATGGATATAAAGTCTCAAAGTGTTCTTGGTCCTTGTTTTGTCCTTTCCTCTTGAAAAAGCCAGACATTTGAGCTAGGAAAGCTCACAGGGTCATCAGTTCATCCCCTTCCTGAGGCAGAGCTGTTTCCTACAGAATGTTCTTTCCAGTGCTAAGCTTCAATTATCTGTCTCTAGTTAATGGGAAAGAAATGATAATTAAGAGTAACACAAAGAAAGTCTCCATAAGTACTTTTCAAAGCGTTAGTTCTCAGCCAAATCTGAAGCTGTTTCTCAGGACTCATGCCAGAGCTATCCTGCATTCAGAGGATGACTTGAAGTTTCAGGCACAATAATAAAAGGGGAAAAAAACCACAATAGGTAAGAGTCTAGACAACTGCACCCACCAGTTGTAGATATTAATCTCCTGCCCTTTGTCTCCACCATAAGCATACAGAGAAATATGAACAAGGAGGCACACACTTCCCACCCCAAAAAATCCACTTCACATAATGTACACATGCAGGACAAGACAATGGCAAAAGCAGCCCAGGCTGAACGATTGGAACTATGTTCTTCTCTGAGCTCTCAAAATATTCATAACATGGTCTGCAAGTTTCTGCTAGATACCAAGTGACAAGGAGATGTTTAACTTTGAGAAGAAAGCCTAAACTTGCTTGCAAGGGTAAAAGCCTACAAGACAGCTCTAATTCAAACCTCTCCACCAGCATCTCGTTTTAGAACAGCCGAGTAGGCAAAATATAGGTGTGTACAATCAAGCAATTGTTTATAGAAGAGACAAAGAAGAAATCATTAACATAAAACCGGGAAAACACAAATGAAACTTTTTAACCACTGGCTCAACTAAACAAGCTCTGAGCACATCACGTGGGTCCAACAGTCATGAAACTAGTTGCTGAGGTCTGCTTACCATGAGCAAGACTGCAGATCATCTCTGCTCTAAGACATTCTTGCCCCTTACAAACAGTCAGCAGAGAACTCTAGAGGCAGCTCTAGAGTTCTCTGCTAGCCCACTCCTATCCTGTGCAAGTTTGGCACAGGCACAGCTACACACAGATGAGCAGAGTCACTCCAGGACTTGCTAACAAGGTCTGCACCCCAAACCCCACTGCAGGCTTCAAGGCAGGTGTGCATGGGGAAGGAGGAAGACAGATGTCACACTCTTGGCAGAAGCCTCAAGGCTTCCCTTAATTTCTCACACCAGGAGGACATCATAGTAAGACAAGAAGTTAAACTGACCAGCCTTAGGAACCAGTAACAGAATTCATTCACATCCTTCCAGAATGCCAACAGGAGGCCTTGGCATTTCAGGAAATCCTAGAAGGTAAATTCAAGCTGAAATTCAACATTACACATAGTAACAGACAGAACTGGAAGACATGTTTAATGATGTGTATGGGCCAAGAATGGGTGAGGAGGGACTAATGTCTTCTCCTCCTCTTACGCACAAGCCACTTAAGATTCTCAGAATTTTCTGGATTTTTCTGCATCTACAACATCCTTTTTTTTCCCCCCTCTAACAGTAGGTCACTAAGGAGGAGAAAACTGGGACAATATGTAGTGACTCTTACACCTTAAGAAATGCAAAGCCTAAAATTATACATAAAAAGAAACCGAGATTAGCTTCCAATATCAATTCTAGAGGCTTTAAAAAAGAAAACTGAACTAAAGGGTCAAACTTAATTAACATGTGATTATCAGCATGATTAGAAACAAAGAGCTCCGTTCTATTTTGAAACCCCAGAGAGTTAGTAGACAGATTCCTACCACCTTCAGCAGTTTCTGAATGAATAAATGCCCAGGAACAAAATCCTGCTTCCATTTGGACTGGTAGATTAGCACACTGATTTTGGCCTAATGGGTGTGAGAGAGAACAATGTGGGAGGAGGAGTTGCTCTTCCAAGGCAGGAACAGAGTCCCAACGCTGATACTCATTTTCTCATCCTTTTAAAAAGGCCAAGAGGCATCTGAACTAACACTGCACTGGACTTGCATTGTGGAAATGGATTTTTAATATATATTATATCTAGCACAGCATGTATATGCAGTAGTTAATCTATACCATACAAATGTGTCCGCTACATTCCCCTAAGAATTTCATTTGCAAACAAGAGTCTGCATTCACATCCAACAGCTATTTGCACATGGGACTATGTGCGTGGCTTTATCTCTAGCACTCTAACCCAGACACAAAAACTAATTTCAAGCAGGACTGGAAATAACATATCAGATAAGTTATTTAGACTTTTTTGGTTGCTAAATTCAAACACCTCCCCTCCCAAAACTTCATTGCTTTCAAGTGGCTTTGTCTCCATATCTAGCTCAAACTGGAGATGTAGCAATCCATATTTCATAATCCTTATTTTTCTGCTGCTTCTAAAAGCATTACTGCATCCTGACAATGGCAGCACAGCAAAGGAACAGATAAAGACTGCCCCAACTAGTTTCCAAAAACCATAAAAGTATTTCCATAAAAAACCCTTGATCTAAATTTGACATGTGACACATCACTGTTGGTACAGAAAGGATTTTGAAAGACTCCATATAAATGCTTTGTGTTAAGAAACCATTTGTGCATTTTTAGGAGGTTTTGGTTTTAGTTTTTAAAGTTACTGCCATTTTTACAACAATGGTTCAGAATCAAGCCTGAAATGTCTAACAAATGTTTAAACCCGGGAAGGTTGTTTTGTTGGTTTTTTAAAAAGGAACAAGTGAAGGAAGATTCTATGATAACATTTGTGTGTTACAAGAGGCTTCACCTGGCAGCATTGCTCTGAGCTCCTCTGGTGGGCACTGCAGCAGAACAGATGTAGGCTCTGTGACACTTGATCTGTGTATTACACTGAAGAAAACTGTTTTCAAATAGTCTAGAAATGGTATATAACATTTCCATAACTCTGTTTAATCAATTCCATGCTATGAATAGTGATATTTACTATCACACAAGTTGTATACAGAAGCACTGGAACGGTGCTGGTCTCTCCATGGATCAGTTTAACACATTTAGGTTACCCAGCACTGTTTTTCTGTCCCACTTGGAGAAAAACATTGCTGAAAGAGCCTCTAGGACCCCCTAGCTGTATCACTGCTAAATGCCACATGGACATCTGAGACACAAACAGATCAATTAAAACCATGCTTTACACATAAATCTGTAAACAACTTTTTACAACCACCATTGGAATGGTTTCCATGCATACTTAGCACTTGTCCAACATTACACTCATGTAAGACCTGACTCTGCACCATAATTTTCCCTGAGAAGCACTCCAACCTTACTGTAAACCAACAGGCTATGCTGCTCCTGGGTCTTGCACAAGAACTCCCTCCAAAGCAGAGGGCTAAGTGAACGACACTCACTCCACTTTGCCTTACACCAACAAACACAGGCAAATGAACTCAGCACTTGCAAAGGGGTGGACTAAGAGAAGAAAGAAACCTACTGCCTGAGCAGCTCCACTTAAAATAGTAGAGGCAGTCATCACTTTGAATCCACCCTTGCCCTTAAGGACAAGGGAGAGCTTTAAGGCAGAAAAGAAAACAGGAATGAAAATTTCTTTGAACTTGTGTTAGTCCCAAAGTCTTCGGTAATGCACTCAAGGTGTCCAACTGAGTCTTTATTATCTGAAAACTAATGAACTATATTTTATTGCCTTTCTGGTGAATAGCAAAAACTATTAAAAATTGTGCCACTGAGTCTGAAAACTGCTGATTTTCTTTTAAACTTGACAGTTTCAGGACAAACCAGCATTTATGTTTCCCCCTTTGGGGAAAGGTTTGTCCAAAGGGCTTGACTTTACACTCACTTTGAAAAAAAGCAGCCAGGTAACAGAAACACTCTGAACCATTATTCTGAACTGAAAATCAGCATTTTGCACTCTTTTTAAATACTCCTTGAAAAGCCATTTCACGATAAAACAAGCAGAAATTTTTCTAAGGTTTTATTTTAATTAGGTACAACACACATGACACAAGTGCTAGCACTAGTTGTGTGAGCTTACAAGTTTTCTGCGTGCAAAGCCCTTAATGAAGTACAAGAGATCCCCCTACATGAAGGGTCTGGGCAATTGAGGCTTAACTGTGCACTGCATGACGACCTACAAAGTGGGTCTTATAGTATATATAGGTGTACAGACTCATGCTACTTTTCCATAAGGAAGTGCATTTCAACAGTATTTGCCAATTGGGATGTCACTACTAAGAACCAAAGGACTGATACTTGGCTCATAACTTGTATTCTGGCCACTGGCATAGCCTACTCTATCTTGCTCCTGGTTTGAGTTACCTGGCTCCAAATCAAACCACTGAGGAGAAGTGAGGGCAAAGCAGATGGGATCTGCCAAGTCCACACAATGCTGGCTCCCAGCTGAGGGGAAGGTGCACAACTTTTGCACTGTAGCTACAGAAAGCTATGATGGGAACCAGACTGCAGATTTAATGTCAAGCTGAACCACATAAAAAAACCAAGGGGATTTTCACTCAAATTACTTACTGGTGACCTGCAAAAAAACCCCAAACAAACCACAGGGGCATGAGTGTAAATGGCATCTCTGCTTTACGTTCTGTTTCCTCCTGTATTTCCAGAGCAAGGGGATATTTTTCTCTTCCCTGCCCCCTTAATTTTTACACTTGCGTCAAGAATATAAAGTTTAGCCTTCCCTGTGGCTCTTGAATAATTCTGCAAGATCAGAGAGTTGGCAGAAGACCTTTCTTAGCCTTCATCACTCAGTGTAGGACACACTGAATCCTGAATAAAGTTTATTTTTCCCTGAACTATCTCAAAGGAAAACAAAGGTGAAGAGTTTCAAACAGTGATTAAAGCAATCTTTCAATTACACTGGCTATAGTGTACTGTGTTGTTATAATTCTCCCTGATTCTTGCTCTCCCAAAAAGAGAATCCTACGGCAAAAAGATGACATGACATTTGGTATTTGTCACCAAGGGGATGGCAAATTCCATTTCTAAAAGTTCATCTCAATCTTGCCTGCCCCGAGCAACTTGCTGGTTTCTATTACAGATTTTTACCAAATCCAATCTGCTTCTAATGTAACTGAATTGAAAACAATAACCAAATAAAAAAACACCCTTTTGCGTTACGGCAATAAAGCATTTAATAAACTAAAAATAAAGGTATTCCACAGGAGAGCTGTTGTAACAGACCTTCACAAACATTATTCCAGCCAAGGGAAGGACTGAGAGCTTCATAGGGTATTTCATAAAACAACATTAAACCTTCAGCATTTCAAAGCTAGGCCAAAAATAGGAAAGTTTGAGAACTGGGAAGAAAGGATGAAGAGAAAAGGCTCAACAATTAACAACAAGAAACAGCTCAGTATCACAACTTGGAATTTTCATCTAATTCATTACCTATTTAGAAATAGAGGTGTTTAGGCCAACTTCATATTCCTTATCACTGACAGATCACAAAGCACAAACACTTGCCTGGGACACAGAGCCAGTTAATTTCTCAACGCCAAGTACCATTTCAAATAATGGCAGAGACCTTTCCCTCTAAATAATGAATCAATGCATCAGCAATAGTAAGGAAAATAACACACATCACAACAGCACAGTGGCACTTCTCAGACCACCACATCCAAATACAAGCAGCCATCAAGGATACGAGCACAGTCCCACAAGACAGTAATAGATCCCTTGAAAAGAGACTTGCATTGGGGAAAAAAGGGTTTGTTGGGGGGTGTGGTGTCTTCATTCTGTGTTTTCAAGTCCTGTCTACCTTAGAAAAAGCCATTTCCCAGTGATCTTTTTTGCTTGAGAAGTAAGAAATAAAGAATAAGTTTTGACAATGAGCCAGAGAAACAGACTGGGATGCTTCCCAAACTAGCAGGCTCAGTGTTCTAGTTTAAAAAAAAGCCTTTCCTCCAACTTGTCTTCAATGTAAGCCATCTTACTCAGTTCACAACAAAAAGAGCGCTCAGGTTTAAAGAGGTTGACTACATATTCCTTCCCTAGAGATCATTGTTTACTGTCCTCATTTTTCTGCCATGTGATCATCTCACTCAATTCTCTCACTGCCCAGTCTCTTCCCGAAAGCATTTGGCAGTTGTGACCTGAGCTTTGGATGGAAAAACACAGCAAACCCTTACACTTCAAGGAACAAGAAATCACAAGCCTTGTGCTGGGGTTTTTTTTGTTGGTTTTTTTTTTTTGTTTGTTTTAGTCTGTTCACAGGTCACCTTCAACCAAAAGCAGTGCTTTTAATATGGAAACCCACATTCAACTTTGTGATCAGAAGTCATAAAAGCAGACCAGTGCTTATTAGCAGGGAGGAGCTCAAAGAGAAAGTGAAGAATACCCCATGGCATCAAAATGAGCAGGACAACCATGCAACACTTCATGCAGGTCACCAGTGAACATGGATGAGAACCAGATAACACTTTGAGAACAGAGACCAGGTAGGGTAGTACGACTGTGGACACACCTCAGTTACACAGAGAAACTGCTTACCCTCAGTTTTACTGGTAGTACCATCTTTAGGCAAATTAAAGAAAAATAAGGAAAGGGTTAATAGGGAAAAATCAGTAATATCAACAGAAGTGGGCACTATGTATTAGCTACATAAATAGGCAAAAAAATTAACACAATTAAAGAAATGAGAAAAGTTTGACCGAGAGCAAATCAAACCTTGATGTATCTGAAGAAAACACTTGCAGGTTTTCCCTCCTGCAATAACCAACCTTCGCCAAACTCCATTTTCGTTGCTTGCCTCACCATTTCTCTCATGGGAATGTGCAGGTCATAAAGGTCCCTACTAGCTCAAAAGGAAGTAGGCATAGTTGTATCACTTAATTTGCTGCTTTTCTCCTACAGCCTGGTTTAAGAACAAGATTAACACTATTCAGTCTCAGCTTCAAGGACAAAGTCAGCTTTAAGTAGATACTTCCTCCCTCTTCTGTTCTTCCTTGTGACATAAGAGTGTTTGAAGCAGTTTAGCCACTGAAGTCAGTATGCAGCACAACTCCAATGGCTGCATCTATGAGCCCGAAAGAAGGTTATTATGGGATCAACCTCACACTCTGTACTGTTTCCACTGCAATGTACCTACATCAACGCTCACCCCTTGAACCAAGTATGAACAATTTCAATCAGAATAAGAATTCGACTTCAGAACTGAATACAACCAACACATCTAAACCAAGGTAAAACATTTCAGATATGAAAGAAACCTGTCTCAAAAAGGAATCTATAGAAACCATCCCTACATAATTCACCAAGTGTATTTTATCAGGTTGAAGACCAAATGCCCTACACTAAGGAGAAGAAACTTCTCAACTGACTCTGTGAAGATAATCTATACAGCTTAAATCAAGACCACGGATACCTGATTTTCCTCCCTCTTGTAAAGGTAAATCGATGACAAGTCTGGGATTAGATTAGTATGAAACCAGTAGAATGAGAAACTAGCTCAGGTGATCAGCTCTGCTTATAACCAAGTTGAAGCTCAGCAAATGTGGTGTCACTGCTTTGCACTTCCTCCTCCAGGATTCCTTCAACAGCATCTCCAGGAGAGAAAGATCCAATGCAAAGTTTGTTGTAAGAAACCTTAAGGCACCTGAAGGTGATATAGGATGCTCTGAGAGAATAATGTGACACATGGCTATAATCCAAAGAGTCAGCATAAGGAATTTATACCCTGTCCGGTGAAACGGTGAGGCCAACTTCCTCTTTGCTTCTAGATCTTTCTCTTTGGTGAAACAGAAAGTGATCAAACTCAACTAAGATGCACTATTCAAAGCATAAAACAATTAATGGAAAACCAGATTCAGGAAAGGAGGGAAGGAAAAGAAGGAAAAGAGACAGGGGGACATGTCAAAAGGAATGGAGCAGTTATTTTTCTCAGCAATGTCCCAGAACCGTAGTAAGTTCTGCTTTCCCCCAGAAGGAAGAATGAGACACAGACTGTTATTATACAATTCAAAACCTAAGAAGTTGCTTCAAGTTAGTTCTGTTGTCATTTTTTTTCCTTAATTCCAAAGGGCAAGAGATCACACACTGATCCTGGAGAGCTGGTAACTATCTCAGAGGCATGTCCTTCTAGTTAGACTTCAATATTCCCCTAAAACTGTGAGGCACTTTCTGCTACTAAAGAAAGCTAACTGCAAGTGTAGAACGTGTAGATTTACCTAGTGATGCGTATGACCCTGGGGGCAAGGCTGCAGCAGAACTGAAGGGGGTGGATGCTCCAGAAGACGTCACTTTTGACTTGGCACTAGCTGCTGCATTCACATCGACGTCACTGCGGGATCGCTGCAGAGATCCTGGTGTTGACACAGATTTTGTACTTACTGTAGATGCTGCAGATGGGAGTGGGAGATCCAGAATAAAGAAGATTAATTTTTTTGAGCTGTGTGCTTCAAAGAGCCTGACAAGCAGTTTAAAGTACTATTTTTAACACTCCCTGCTGGCATTGAAATATCTCAACTAAGAATGCTTTATCAGGGCAATGTGGGCTTCCCCACACTGCCTGCAAAGATATTTCATCTATCTCTAAGAACTTTATCGGACATCAACCTAAATGATAAGATCAAAAAGGCTGTCAGGCCTGTAAAAAGAAATTTCTAACAGAATCTAGATGGGAAAGTTCAACCACAGTACCCATCACAGGCTTCTGAGTTGCTGGCCAAAACAGACCTGCAGGTCCTTTAGTCCAGGTTCTAATAATTTTCTTCCCAACACCTCATCTTCTCATGAGGACTGTTGTTCCCATCACTTGTTGATGCTCACTCTCTAAAGCATGAAGCTTGACTATTCAGCTGCAAGCAAACATGCATTTGTGTGCACAATCAAGTAGGTTACACAACAGTATCTCCTTGAACCAAAGGTCTCAGTATGGTGTACTGTATAGACAAACCAGCCAGAACCCGATCTTAGTCAGGTGTAGAAGGCAGCTTATCTTCTACCAACAACGTTTTGTCTGTTACATTTTGTTTAAAATGTATTATTTAGATGATTGTATGCATTTACTTAGGACAGAAAAGCTGTACCTAAGTATTCCATCTGACAGTAAAAACAGATTAGCAATGAGATGGAATTTAACACCGTAGGACTTTGAGCAGACACCTCCAGTAAGTGCTGAAAACCAGAGAATAAATGATAGCAAATTGTAAAACTGAAGGCACCATCAGATTACATGGCTGTATGTCTTAGCATCAGCAGTAGTTTATTCCAGCTATTAAAGACAGCTAAACATATCTTTGCTACAATTTTCAAGGCTTTTTAGGCTTTCCTTCAGGTGCATGCAATTACAGATTTACTGATTTTTAAAAGCATTATTTTATTCGCAGCTGATGCACAGAATGTGGTGCAAAACCCAAAACTAATTAAAAATTTTGCATACTAAGCTGCCATTTTAGAGAGCAGTAAAAAGTGATCAAAGTTGTTGCTTGCATATCACAATGTCTGATATTCTCATTCTAGTCCATTACACTTCCTCAGCAACACCTGAGCACATTTTTCAGCTCCTGTTCTCACCTCTAGATGTAGTACTTCCAGTAGGACTTCTTTTGGCAGACAGTGGACGGCTGGAAGTTAATAAAAATATTTATTAAAACAAAACCAGTATTTCATATCATCAGTGGCAATACTACTCTCTTCCCTCAGTACACAACTGAGTTAACAGAAAGCTATTCATGTACAGGAGTAGACTAACAAAGTTTGTTTAAGAATAAATACAGTACTATAATACAGGTTTCTTTATAAAAGCCCTAAGAAAAAATTTAGTATTCACATTATTTGAGTAGGAATATATTTTTAAGAATGCTTTTTAAGGATTAAAAAAGTTACGCCAATAAGTTATGGAAAATTTTCATATAGGTCTTACACATAAATCAGACATTTGGAGCCTAAGTTGACTGTACCTCTAAGAGTAGTTACAACACATAGATTCAACAGAAGAGTTACATATTGACTTTGCAATTACAACTCAAATTTAGTCATATTTTTTCTCTTGTACGGAAAGAAGAGGCAGACTTACACCTCCAGGATAAATGCTAAATACAGAACTTCAATTCAAGCACTGTTGTAAGAACAAGGAATGACTAACAGTATCTGCTGAGCACAAAACCGTTCCTAGAAAATTACTTATGAAGCCAAGATAAGGTTTATATTTTTAAAGCACAATAAAGGGTTCTTCTGGCTTTTAATTTTCATACAATGTTAGCCAAAAAAATATATATATATTTTGGAGCAACCAAGTGTTGAGTCCCAATGGTGACCAGAAGAGACAAAGCAATGCGATGGCTCCCTCCAATTCAATGGAGCTGTCTGCAGCTGTTTAAATCGAGAGGTAGTGACACAAAGACTTACTTGAGACTCTCCTGGGAGCTGGAGGAGGAGCGATCTGACTGTGGCAAGGACACGATGCTGTCAGAGTTCTTCAAATGTGACTGCAGGGCCTTCTGGTAGGAAGACTCCAAAGTGTGGTACAAATGCTCTGCCTCTCGGCTGAAGTGGCTGTGGAAACCCCAGTAACACCTGGAAACAAGGCACAACACTGTGAACGTGCCCTTGTCATGTTTCAGTGGGCAGTGGAGCAAAGGCACAGTCAGAGCCCTTTCCACTATTGTCATTAGTGGCCTCCTTAGCCCAGTCATTTCATCCATCTGTTGCCTCATTACACATTTAAGGCTTTTTTCAACCCACTGTATTGCTCCAACAGCCACACAGAAGCAAATCAAAGAACCACTTGTAGTAAAAACACAAGTAGAAAACAAAACTTCATTACTTAAGAAATCCTCATCCCTTGAGCTGTCAACTATACATGGGAGACTGTAGACACACTAGACTGACATTAGTTTGGGACTGGGTGTGCAATAACTACTTCAAAAACTTGCCAAAGGCAGACCACACATGCATGGGCCTCTTTCCGGAAAGCACCAGTTGGTGTTTTCTTCCTTAAGTTTAACAACTAGCTCTCCTACAATGCTGCAAAGACAAATCTCTGTACTGAGTTGAGGCTGTTGACTGTCTTTTTGGGAAGAAGTAACAAGGAAAGAGATTCTCCCATGGACTACGAATCAGTGTCATGCTGAAAATAAAAGAGCATTTTAAGACGATGATCCAAATCTCCTGTCTGATAGATAAACACCATTCACCCTTGGCACAAAGGAGATGAAGACTCTCAGTACTTTTCAGGGGGCAACTAATGGGCAGTTTAAGAGTAAGATAATTAGCTCAAATGAATCAAGAATTGTTTGTGTGTGACAACCAGTCCTCAGTGAAGCCACATGCATTCTCACATCACTAGAAGAAAACAAACTTGTCTTACAATCAGCCATGCTGCTATTTAATAAACATGGGAAGAGAGAATTAAGCATGCTCTCTGAAGTCTCATGCCATTCTCCTTGCTGTCTATTCAGCTTAACTAGCCACCTGCTGTGAAGTCTCAGCGCCTACTGTAATTTTCAGTGATGGACACATTGCCTTTCAAAAGGATTTAAGCAGTCTCACTGTGAAACACCTCTGTTTATAACACAGCATTTAGACTAATAAAATTTATTGTTCATTGATTTCATGTTTTACAGCATCCTCTTTCTGAAGAAAACTATTCCTGTAGTGCTCTGTTTAGAAGAGCATGATCCTGGTGTATCAGCATACTATCATAAATACAATCACATTAATGGAAATGCATGAGATCTTCAACAGAAGAAAATTAATTGCAAATATTCAAATTTCCTATAGAAAACACAAAGATATTGTTTCAGTGTCATAAAATATTTATGTTAATTTAGGATACCATTTAGCACTGTACTAGGACAAGGACTTTTACTTCAAGAGCAGCAAATAACACAGTGTATTTCAGCTGTATGGGGCCTACAAGGACCATCTAGTCCAAGTACCTGATCATTCAGGGCTGACCAAGAGTTAAAGCCTCTTGTTAAGGGCATTGTCCAAATGCCCCTTAAACACTGACAGGCTCAGTGCATGGACCACCTCTCTACAAAGTCTGTTCCAGGGTTTGACCACCCTCTTGGTAGAGAAATGCTGCCTAATGTCCAGTCAGAACGTTCTCTGCACAGGTTTAAAGCATTCCCATGTGTCCCATCACTAGATCCCAGGAAGAAGGGATCAGCACCTCTCTCTGCTTCTTCTCCTCAGGAAGCTGTACAGAAAGTCTTCCCTCAGTGCCTCTTTTCTCCAAACTAGACAAGCCCAAAGTCCTTAGCTGCTCCTCACATGACATTCCTTCCATCCCTTTCACCAGCTTTGTTGCCCTTCTCTGGACACACTCAAGGACCTCCTTCTCAAATGGTGGGGCCCAAAACTGTACACTGTGCTCAAGGTGAGGCTGCACCAAAGCTGAATACAGTGGGATGATCCCCACTTTCAACCAGCTGGTCATGCTGTGCTTGATGTACGCCAGGATGGGGTTTACTTTCTTGGCTGACTCCTACTGAGCTGCTGTCAGCCAGCACCTCTTGATCCCCTTCTGCAGAGCTGCTCTCTAGCCACTCCTCTCCCAATTTACACTTGTGCCCAGCATTACTGTCTTGTATATAGGGAAAAAAAAGAAAAAGTATATTATCAATGATATATCTCTATGTAATGTGTTTGTGTCCTAAACAGAAATCTCAGTTAACTGCAAGCAACTTAAACTTCAAAAAGAAAGACTAAGTAACTAGTTTTCAACTCTAGACTGCTGAACAAGTTAAGCAAACATTTTATCTGCTCAGGCAGAAAAAAATATATTATTAAGTGAAATAAGCAGCATTAGAAGATGCAATACATACAACTCAGCCCTGTGTGATCACCTCATGTGGCATGTCCTGCTCAAACACACACTCCCATTGAAGCCAAGGGGAAGTTGTCATCAGCTGAAGACAGGACAATTTAACTTGTCATGACTAGAGTCTCAACCATGCAACACCACTGACTCACAACACAACTGGGGCAAAGAAGGGGATGAAGAAAAGACAGGACCAACAGCTTCTACTTACTTTCTTGCCTCTATCCTGGCTTCAGAGTCTGCATCATGAATTCCCTTCTTTATTGTTTCAGCTAACACTGATATGTGTCTGAAATAAGAAAGAAAACATTATCCAGTGGTTCATGAAGATCTGCCACACTTATAAACAAATGACTAATTTGATTTTGCCTTGGTCTCCAAGAACAAACAGTTCATCATATCCTCCCATTTCCACATAGGATCCTTTGTAACCTTCATTTATTTACTCTTACGAGTCAGTTTTAATTCACCCACACTGCTGTCTAGGAAACAGCCAGCAGCATTCTTCATAGGTCTTTAGTTAGCTATTCAAACTGCCTGGATTCAGAAACACTCTCTGAAGCCTTCAATAGTCTTGTGCAGTCTAGGGCTAGGGAAATTGTGTCTCAGACTTTTCTCCCACAATTACTTTAACTGGTCATTACTTTGAAGTAATGTAGAAGCCTCAGAAGCTCCTGATAAGAGGTGCAGTAGCCTTCACCTCATCCTCCCAAATCAGGGTGCAAAAGGAATAAAATAAAAATAAAAAATTGAGTTCAGGGACTGACTCAGACAGGTTTTCCAAGGCACAGGAGAGATAGACACACTGAACTCTGACTGACAGGAACACAAATGGTGTGTGTGCACATACATAAATGCTTCTCCTGGTGGCAAAAATACCTCTACCTGATACAATCTCACCTCCTAGATTATCCTATCTCCAGAATTAACCTCCCCAGATAAAAGTAGGAGAGAACTAGCCCACTTGCATTCAGAGCTTACCTTTCTAGGGAGTGTGTTTGCCACTCCTGTAACAGCAAGTCTAAAAATTCAAAACAGCGTCTGAGAGAAGAGAGACAAGAAATGCTGAGTTAACAGAGACAAACTGGCTTTGCCATATCCAACTCTGAACAGCCATCTTTTGTTAGAAAGCTTTCTGGGACATCAACATCCAGTGTTGACCCCAAACAGAACATCAACATCTTTAAAAACACCCTCAATAAACAGTCTGAAGAAGTAACTGGAGGCAGTTCTTCTTCTCACTATGAGAAGTCTGAAGAGAGGGCTTGACATAAAACAACCCCATTTATCATGAAACAGGATATAGGCCCAAAGATCCATGTTGACACTTTGTGCCTGTTAATTCAGGCTTCACACAGAAACTTCACAGTTAGCTTCACATGGGGACAAAAATCTTCGCGACTTCAAACTCATTTCAAAAACTAAGGCACAAGTGTGCTGAAATTTGTTCAAGGTTTGTCACCAAATGGAGCAACCACAAAGCCCTTCCTCTTGTCTCACTAGATAAGAACTAGCTAATCTACACAGACAAGGCAAGAGTCTCCCGGTGAGGCAGAGGACTGAAGTACTTCGATTTTAAGTGCAGAGAGAGGACCATTAGCACATCCAGTCCAGCTTCCAGATGATGCTATCACAAAGGCTACTTTTGCTACTGGCTCAAAAAAACATGTCACTATAACAGCTAGGAGTGGGGAATAGCAATGTGTCGGTAAAGAAGCCAAAACAATCTGATGTTATAACAATGTGTATGCAAAAAGAGTAGCTTAAAAACACATTTCTCCCCGTGGAAAAGTGCCTTTTCCTCTCTGCAGTGCTGCAGCTTATGCAGGATAGTTGACTGAATGTGATCCCAAATCATGGGAGAGAATGAGATGCATTCTTTAGTAAATGTGTATATCTAACCTTTTCACAATTAAAGACAAATATATTCATTTAATCTGAAAGCACATATGCACCTATTTACTGGTAAAAGAAGAGTAAATTCATACTAAATTCTCACCTTCTAACTGCAACAGACTTGGAGGTACAATTACTGGTTATGATGGGTATTAACCGAGGGATGTGCGTATGCTAGAAGAAAACAAACAACAAAACCAGGAAGAAATCTTTACACAACAGTTCAATGAAATCAAAGGCATTTCCTCCAGCCACCTGAGCCCAGTATTCACATACTTATTGCTGTTCAATTCTTAAAAACAGAACTGCTAAATAAAGGAACACTAACAAATATGGTCAGATTTTTATTACTAAAAATATTTTACATTTTATCTGCTAAAAAATATCTTTAACAGATATTTTATTTTCTTCTATAATGACAGGCTCCAGTGAGTCAAAGAGCTGAAGACAATGCAGGAGGATCTAAACTGCCAGTGGTGACAACTTGGGTGACATCAAGCTACCCTACAGCTACCCAATGAATCACTAGGCAGAAGTCACTGCTGTGAACTAATAGTTTTGGGAAACATGAACTGTCTGTGAGGTGTTTTAGAGCATAATTAACAGGAAGAGTCTGTGCTGCAAGGCAGGTTTAAAACCCTTTCAAAGAAAAAAGTTTGCTCAGCTCTTAGAGGGATGGAAATATCTTGCTCTGTAAAAAGAAACATTTTTCCTACCATTTTGGCAGAGCTTAGCAAACACCATCTACACAAGACTGCACGACATCTGAGACAGCCAAGTCCAGCACAATCAGAAAAGTAGATTAGGCACTTAATCTAATTTTTATTGCAGCAGCTTTCATATTTCATCAGAAACACCACAGTATTTGGAAATTAGAACATTGTTCTCTTTTGATGTATGTACTTACTCGAATGATTAATCTAACTGCTACAACACCAGAAGTGGCCATGACTTTGGCACTATTCGGAATTAGATTAAAAATTGTTGGCATAATGGCTTCTGCCCCATGGTCAAACTTGTTTCCCAGAACTGATGACAAATGTCTGAAAAACAGAATGAAGTCATGCTGGTAAGTGAGCTGAAGATTAAGCGAGTCAGACTTCTTTCTACAGAACATCTGACATCAGCACATCTGACATCTCAATCTTTGCAACTGCCACCTCCTCCCCAACTCCAAAGGACAGAGAACACCATGTTTCAAAACGCAGTTTCTTTACTTTCCTTTCAAACTTCTGTTCTACATTCGTATGAACCCTGAGAAATAGGAAATTCAGCATAAAATAAAGTGACTAGCACAGCTAAAAATTTAATATCAAACAAATGAGATCACGTTGATAGAATGTGTTTTTCTGTTAGTTTATATTACAACTTCTCTGAAACTTTCCATTTTGCTCTAATATGCACAAAAAAACCCTGTTAGAAACAATGCAACTGCCTGTTTTGCCTTATTATGCACCAAAACCCCGTTAGAAACACTGCAGCACCCTTTCTCTTGAAGCATTTCACAAAGGATAGACCATCAAAATTAAAAACTAGCTCAACCTGAACCTGAATAACATGTATACGTTTTCAGCTTTATTGTTCAATCCTTCCCTACTCATGCATGAAGGCATTGCTTCCTCATTCATTCTGCATTTCTCCAATCAGCATCACTTAACACTCGAGAACATGGTTTTACGTGCTACAGAATTGCAGAACTATAATCAGTGGCCAACATGGATGTGGCTTGAAACAGCAGTAGCAAAATCATGCTCTACCTCTAACTGTGTAGTACTAGCAGCACAAGTTGCATCCTAGTTGTGCTTTAACCACTATCTGCTCCTTTCTTCTACATCCCATTTCAAGCACACGCAGACAGCAAACTTACCCCAATGTGATACAAGCCTCTCTCACTACTTGGGATCGCAGGTCTTTAGCAGATAATTTAAATGCTCCATCCAAAAGCCTTAAGTGTTGGAAGAAGTTATCGTATTCTGCAGCCCCAGCTAAAAGTAAGGACCGAATCTTCTTCAACTGTTAGGAGCACAAAAGAAATTAGTGACTGTTAATGTGTAATAAATATAAGGGTAGTTATGTTCAGGGCCCATTCCTGGTTTCCAGGATTCTTGTACCATTATTCCTCAACATGCATTAAGGAACTCAATTCTTCATATCCAAGCAATTTTATTATTTCTTATCTTATATTCAACTCTTAGGTTAACATACTCACTACAATTATGTAAACACATTAGCTAACTTTCAGAAATTCAGAAGTGTTGCCTACAGCTAATCAAACTGTATGGTTAATAACCCAAACATTAGTTTTTAAGCCAAAAGATATCTTAAATATTCCTTTCTGTTCAGCTTCTAAAGCATAGGTTGCCTCAGAGCTGACTGTTGTATTAAAATCTAGACTTAAAGGGCATGGCTCACACTCAGGTCTGAGTAATACTGACTTATATCCAAAATGTGTTCATTGACTTCATTAAAACAATTATCTGGCTCTAATAGAAGTGGAACCCTGACAAAATGGGAAATTTTCTAGTAATATTACAGGGACTCCCATCTCATCCTTCAGATGTTCCTCTGGACATCTTCACAGGCTCTCCTGTATACCAAGGTACCTGCACATTGACTCGATTTAAGCTCACTGTTAGTCAGTACAGAAATAAAATTAAACAAAAGTAAGCTGAATCAGCAGAGTCTGACGCTCAGCTCTGTAATACAGGATCTGACAGACATGTCAAAGTTGCTACACCAAAGACAAAAGTCTACTGTGTAGACAACACTAGGCATCTATTTATATCACAAAAACACAGCTCACCTCAGTAAATAAAACCCAGTCTTGATATGCACATAACACCCAATTTTGCACTTCCACATTTCCCACAGTCATATTTGTTTATTCACAACCTAAGTGTGCAAATTCTTTCTGAATTATTTCACACCTCCTTTGGCAGAAGTATAAATGAGTTTCCACAAGCAAAGTAATTTTCTGCCTTCCTTAACATGATATTATAAATATACCCTTTGACATTTTGATTTTAGCATCTTGCTAGCAAATTCTAGCTTTACATCTGGATTTGCTGCATGATTTCCAGTTCAACCTGATGCAGTCTCAACAGATTCTTGTGTATCAAATAACATTTTTGTCTCACAGATGTAGTGTAAGTTCAGTCTCATATGGAAAAGTTTCCCCCAAGTCTGGGGAACATAACAGGTGCTCACCACTAAAACTATATTCCAGCCTTACTCTGAGGTTCTCCCAGTACCCTCTCATGGGATTAAGCTCAGTGTAGAAAAGCCTTATATCCATAGAGAACATATCACTTACCGCAGAAACTCTCTGTTCCCAGTCATGCTTATCATCTGATAGTATCTCTCTGATTTTGTTTATGGATTCCTCGAGATCCCGGCTGGAATAAATCTATAGATTTAAATACAAAGTACCACTGTAATGCAATATATATTCCAGAAAACCAGATCACTTCCCAACTACATTCTTATGTTCTTTGCTCCTCCATACTTAAACATCATGTGCTAGCCTTGAACACAAGTGGCTTTGCATAATGCACAGAATTTACACCCACTGCCTCCAATTAAAAAATTCCAAAACGATCACAAGATGATTAAAGGATCATCTTTTATTATTTTACTTTATTCCCACAATTTTAAGCAGCTCCCTGCAGATACTAGAGGCCTATATTAGCCAAGACCTACAGAAGATCATGAGTGGACATGTGCTCTTCAGCTGTCCCAATAATAAAGCTCTGGTGAAGGACAGGGAATATGTGATGCATCTCAGCTATCCAGCTAAATCAGCAAACATAAACTGTCCAGTTGTCACACTCACAGCAGCAGCAATCCCTGAGACACAAGTCACCTTTACTGCCTTCACTTCCCAGAGGGTACAGATGAGATGGAATGAGGCTCCTGCTGACTTCAGCTTTTGTTTGACCAGACTGCAGTGTGCACATCCAGTTCCAGCTCCATGTCTACTCCTGTGATACCTCTACCACAACCCTCCCACCCCCATTCCCCACACTTCTGAGGATTTCACACAAACCTGGCAGACACCACCATTTTAAACTTCCCTCCCTTCAACTTCTACCTTGCTTTCCCCTTAAAGAAGACTTATCAACATCATAATGAGGCACAATTTGCTGGTGATTAGCATGAGATCCTATATCCATCTTCTGCTTTTTAGTACAGTGTGGTTTAACATGTAATCCCACTTACCTGAACCGTTGGGACATCTTCAAATGCCTTAATGAAGTCTTCTTCATCCACAGCACCTGCTCCCTCTTTGGCTGCTGACACACAAATGAAAGAGCCTTTTCAATCCTCTTATCAACACGAGAATCAATTAAGAAACCACCAGCTATCAAGGCACTTAACCAGGAGAAAGTTCACTATCCATGCAGCCTCAAAGTGCTGCAGAGGTAATGAAAGCAGAGACAGGGAAATACAATGCCAAGCACAGGCTAGATATTCAGGGCATCCTTCAGCTCCTAGGCACAGAGGGCACATTAGGGAAGTCATTACAGTAGTCACTCAACAGTTAGGGGATACAGTCTGAAAGATGAAAGGGAATACTTACTTTAATTATATGGGAGATTCTATTTTAAAGGATTTAATCCCATCTATAATAGATGAAGGTGGAGATCTGACAGGTGCACAAACAGACGAGTGATAAGGAAGATAAATAGTCTCTGGAATACTAATCAGATTAGAGACTGCCTGATATAGGGAACTTTCTGCATTCCTCTAGGACACATGTAGAATTATTGCTCACATGTAGAATGACTGCTCAGTTTTCTGTCTTCATTATCAGCAATGCCCAAAGGTCTTAGAAGAAAGCCAATGTGTCAGTTTTAGATTACAAGGGCAGAGCTTTAGCATGTAGCTGTAAGCAGCCTGTCTCAGTTCAGCTAGAGTTGCAGCTACAAAGGCAAAAATCTACACACCACAACACCAACATGATTTACTCATAGCCCTCAGTGCACAACTGCACAGGCCCAACCTTACACAAACTGAAAATGCATTCTAGGAATGTGGCGACTGCTTGAAGATTTATCCTACCAGACTTCAGTTGTGACATGCAGAGAACATACATGTAATAATTTCGTAGGGAAAAATTTGCTACTGGATTCTGGGTGTCAGCCTGGACGTCCTTGCAACAAGCTCAATACAAACACTATAAATACTTCACATAAATGTCAGTTCATACATGCTGTTGGCTTACTTGAAGACTTGGAGCCCAGAGGTGCAGACCCAAGCCTGCGGGTAGTCCCCATCCCAACTCTGCGGGAATTTGCAGGGGCCTTTGAAGATGTAGAGGAGCTAGCCGAGGAAGGTCTGTTCCCATCCACGGAATCTTCATCATCAAAAATTTTATCTGCCAAGAAAATCAGTTCAAATGAAGTTCACTGAAGCAAAGGGATATCCCAAGGAACATGCCCATGCTATGGCAAATATGCTGCATGTTTCGGTCTGCTCTGCCAGCTCTCATCTTAGCAGTGCCCTCAGTTAGTCACAAAAGGCTACCAGGCCACTGAAAACTTTGCTATTGCAGCCACTGTAATAAGCCCTTTCTATGAATGCATTCAGATAAAAGGAACAAACTTCAGATCTACAGCAGAAAGATACAAGCCACAGACAACACTTGGAGTGTCTCTAGTCTGCATCCCTCGGAGAGCTATTTTGCCATGGACTGTAGTGAAACCAAGACCATAAGCAAATCCAAGATCCAACTGTGGAGAGATGCAGGCAGCAGAGGCTTCCCTGTCACACCTGTCAATTGCCTGCACCAGACCAAGGATAACCCAGGTAACTCAGGGAAGTTCACATGGCAACACCCATGCTGCTGATAAACAATAGACCATTAATCACACACCATCTGGAACTACAAATCCACTTTCACTTTTTTAATTATCACCAGAGATTTTTTTGTACAAGGAAATAGAAAAAGTTACCTCAAACGCAAAAAAACATAGAGAGTATTTAAAACTTATAGAACCTTCCGTGCACATCCAACTTCAGCCTCTACTGCCCAATGTGAACATAAATTAACTCAAAATGAATTACAGTCACTTTGATTCTCGGCGAAGGTCATTTCAATTCCACAGGAGTGCTTATATTGCAGTTTTACACAGATTAGCTAATTCACTTGAAAAAATGCCTTGGGTTGAAAGGTGACAAATCCTTTAGGCAGCTGATATGGATGGCACATGTAATTATCGAGGCCAGAAAGCCAGTTCAGTCCCCATCACTTAGGTTCTCCATACTAACACTTCAAGATTTGAAACCTGTTTCATGCCGATCCTCCTCCAACAGACCAAGACAAACACCCGCTCTCCACTGGCTTAGGAACATCTCCTTCACAAATTTCACTTGGCAAAAGTCAAGCAGGTGCTTTAATCCATCCCTGATCAAGAAAGCACCTGGGAACATCTACTAACAAATACAGTCTCCTAGTTAGACACTAACGAATGAAATTCAATACAGGTTAAGCTTTCTGAACGTAAGAAAATAACTCATTAACACTATAGGCACATTCTAGGGGAGGCAAAATAATAGAAAGAAAAGCCTGTACTGTTCTCAGCCCATCACAGATCACCTCAAAACCTAAACACTCCATTTTCAATATGTACCCATGTACACAATGCCATACTCCAACCACAGCACAGCACTGAAATGACAAGTTCAGAAAAGCATCCAGAAAGTTAAGAAGAGTGGCCAAGGGTATCTTTCCCTTCAATTTTGATGCTCAAGAGCTCTTGGAATATGGAAAAGGGCTAGGGGAAATAAAAGCATATAATAAATAACAGGTACTTGTACTGTTGTTCAGACAAAAGTGAACTAGACAAAAATAAAGATATGAACTTTAGCTTAAAGAAATTTAAGATCACACAGCTAAGGAGAAGAATGCAAGCCACAATTAAGATGTGGGCTCCCTGTAACACAGTGCCTGAAGGCAGCCATGGAGACCGTGCTCCCTCCCTATTGACACCAGTCATGTTCTGACACATGTAATTCAAAAATAATTTGAAAAGAGCTCAGGGAACAATCACGAGAATGATTAAAGGATTAGAAAATATGTTTTTAATTCAATTAAATGAAAATTCACTGCATGAGATTGTTTAGCCTCGCCGGATTCTTAATAAGTTGCTTGATTATATTGTGTGTTAACACAGCAACTCAAGATTTATTAACGCAGTTTTACAAAGTGATTTATTAATACCGTTTCTTACCTAATAGAAAAACATACAACAAGGCCACTGGCTGTAGGTTAAAAACAAATTAAGTTCTG